CTCTCCTTGTTTCTGCTACAGCCATGGCCAAGCAGTTGGCACCCAATGCACAGGGCTTTGGACTGACAAGCTTTTCAGAAGCAGACAAAATATTTCAGACTTTAAAAAAAATGAAGGGGGGGCTGGCGGAGTGACTCAAGTGGTAGAGTGCCTGCTTAGCAAGCATGAGGCCCTGAGTTCAAACCACAGTACAGAAAAAAAAAAATGGAAGGACTGGAGGTGTAGCCCAGTGGTAGAGCATGTGCTTAACACATGTGAAGCTCTGGATTCAAGCCCCAGCTTGACCAACAACACAAAACAAAACAAGCAATAGGAATGGCTTCAACTACAAAAGTTCAAAGTTGAACTAATTATTGAGCCTCAAACTTGCTAGGCCAGTGCTCTAATACTTGAGTCATACTGTCAGCCCTTTGGGCTTTGGTTATTTATTTATTTATTTCTGCAGTACTGGGACTTGAACTCAGGGCTTCACACTTACCAGGCAGGTGCTCTACCACTTGAGTCACTCCTCCAGCCCTGCTTTAGTTATTTTTGAGAAAGGTTATTTTATGCCTAGCCTGCCTGGACTGCAGTCCTCCTATTTGTGCTTCCCTCTGTAGCTGGAATGACAGGTACACACAACATCCCCAGCCATGGTTTGTGAAGGGGTCACAAAAACTTTCTGCCTGACTAGCCCTGGATCTCCATCCCATCTATTCTCAACTCATGCAAGGATTTCTTTTTTTTTTTTTTTTTGGTGGTCTTGGGGTTTGAACTCAGGGCCTCAGGCTTGCTAGGCAGGTGCTCTACCACTTGAGTCATTTGGCCAGCCCATAAAGATTTCTTACAGATAAAATTAACACCAAACAAAGAGAGATTTTTCTACAACAAGAATTCCAGCAGATCAAAAAGAAAAACCTCGATTAAAAAAAGGGTGATGGGGGAGAGGGGCAGGGTGGAGAAATGACCCAAACAATGTATGCACATGTGAATAAATGAACAACAACAAAATAAATAAATTAATAAATTTAAAAAAATTAAAAAAGGGTAGGTAGACACCTGAAAAAGAAACCATTTTTTCAGGTTGGAGGAAATGAATAGCAGTTCATAGAAGGGAAAGCCCAAACTTAGGAGGAATTTTTGTTTTTTAACCACTTGAGTCATGGGCCATCACCTAGGGCTGGAGGCTTGTTTCAAGTGGTAGAGCACCTGCACCTGCTCACGTAAGGCCCTGAGTTCAAACCCCAGTATCACCAATAAACAAGAAACAAGCGTCCACATTATTTTAAAAAACAAATCAATAATGAGATACTGCTTTCACATTTGTTAGAATGGTAAATCAGAGTGGTGGGCCCACCATTTCAGTGGTAGTGAGCATGGGACACAGCAACAGCTTCTCTGGAAAGCAAACTGACAAAACACAGGTAGGCGTGGGATCTGTCTCCTAGTTATACACCTCGAAGACGCTCTAGCACTAGTCCTTGAAGGATGTTCGAGGTTATTTCCCCCTCCATGATTTGTGGAGAAGGAGTTGCAGGCAACCAGGTGCCCATGACAAGGGACAGGCAAGTGGTAGATGCACACCACTGAAAATGATGAGCAGCACTGAGAAGCTGCGAACCCTACGCACTTAGAGAACATGGCTGGATCTTTAAAACAATGTTGTGTGAAAACAGATGTGCAGCACGTTATCATTCACATAATTTAAAACACACAGACAAAAGCCAGGTTGGTGGTGTACTCCTATAATCCCAGCACTCAGGAGGCTGACTCAGGAGAACTGATAATTTGAGGCTGGCCAGGGCTATACAGGCCAGCCCTTTATTTTAAAAAATAAAGAAAATAAAACAACAAAAAACCAAACATATCCAAACAAAACACCACCACACTGAACTGGGGGTGCAGCTCAGTGGTAGAATGAGAACCCTCAGTTCTATTCACATCACCACCACAACAACAAAAAGATAACATGTTTTAAGGATACAATCACATTCAAATGTCATTTCCTCATACTCACCTAACCCTGACCCCTCTCCTCATTGCTCTCTATTCTTTCACCCTGATTTCTTTTTTTTTATTTTATTATTCATATGTGCATACAAGGCTTGGGTCATTTCTCCCCCCTGCCCCCACCCCCTCCCTTACACCCAATCCGCCCTCCCTCTCCCCCCACCAATACCAGCAGAAACTATTTTGCCCTTATTTCTAATTTTGTGTAGAGAGAGTATAAGCAATAATAGGAAGGAACAAGGGTTTTTGCTGGTTGAGATAAGGATAGCTATACAGGGAGCTGACTCACATTAATTTCCTGTGCGTGTGTTTACTTCTAGGTTAATTCTTTTTGATCTAACCTTTCTCTTCTAGTTCCCTGGTTCCCTTTTCTATTGGCTCAGTTGCTTTTAGGTATCTGCTTTATTTCTGCTTTAAGGGCAACAAATGCTTATCTAGTTTTTTAGTGTCTTACCCATCCTCACCCCTCCCTTGTGTGCTCTCGCTTTATCATGGTGTACATAGTCTAATCCATTGTTGTATTTGCCCTTGATCTAATGTACATATGAGGGAGAACATACGATTTTTGGTCTTTTGGGCCAGGCTAACCTCACTCAGAATGATGTTCTCCAATTCCATCCATTTACTAGCGAATGATAAGATTTCGTTCTTCTTCATGGCTGCATAAAATTCCATTGTGTATAGATTACCCTGATTTCTTTTTACCTTTTTTTTTTTTTTTTTTTTGGTGCTGTGGATGGAATCTAAGGCTTTGGGCAAGCTAGGTAAATGGTCTACCACTGAGCTACATCCCCACCCCTGATTTATTTTTCTTTATAGCACTAGAATATCTATTTCATGAGGGTGGGACCTTCTTTAACTTTATCACGGGTGTATATAACAGCAAGTAGAACAGAACCTGGGACACTGTCAAGGATGAATAAATATTTGTATCAGGAATAAACGGAGGATATATAGTCAACAGAAAGTGGGCCTTTGGGAAGAGGAAAGGAAGGCAAGAATGAGGATGGAAAAATAAACAAGGAGGGATGCTGCCTGCACATCTAATGATGGTGTGTTATAACTGGTCCATAAAACTAATTACAGATTGCTTGATCAAATTTATTACCATTGTAAAATAAGCCCTGCCTGATAAGGTTTGTCATCTGCCTGCCCAACCTTCCTGATTTTACTCTCCTTATGATCACTATGTTGTAGCCAAGAACACCTCTTCTATAAAACAGCTGATCACCTCAGGGCCTCTTGCATAAGCTGTCCCCTTTATCGATAAGCTCTTTCTCTAGTTCTTTGAAAAGCTTGTTTTTTGTTATTACAAGTTTCAACTCCCATGTCACCTGCTGACCATGCTACTTAGGGCTATCACATCACCTGTTCATTATCTTACCAAGCTCTGTGACTGTCTTTTTTATGCTGTGCCTCTACCCAGTAAATGTAAACTCCAAGAAGACTGCTTTATCTTATCCCCAGCACCAAACACAGAGAAGGCATCAAATGTGTGAAGAAGCAAATTATAAGGTCTATGCAAAAGTAAAGTAATGGACCAGGAGGAAGAGAGACTGGAAAAAGGTGTGTCTTTGTTTCATTTTGTTTCTGATATGGGTTTGGGGCTTCCTTATATTGTTCAAGGCTAGCCTTGGACTCCTACCTCAGCCTCCTGAATAGCTGAGATTAGAGGCGGTGGACCCAGCCTCAAAATGGGAATTTTGTTTTCAGTACTGGAGAATCAACCCAGGACTACTGAATTACACCCCCAGCTCTTTTCGTACTTTATTTTGACACAAGATCTCCCTAAATTGCTCAGGCTGGCCTCGGACTTACGATCCTCCTGTTTCAGCCTGCGTGAGTAGCTGGGATTACAGAAGGGAACGCCGGCAAAGAGAGTGGAAAGGGCAAAGAATAGGGGTAGTGAGGCCACAGAGGTGGACGGCAGAGAGGCTGTGGCAGAGAGGCTGTGGACGGGCACCAAACTCCAGAAGTTCTGGTAGCTGTTTTAACCATTAATGTGCTGGGGTGATGGGATCAGGGGCAAAACTCTTCCTTTAAAGTGTCTGGCATCATTCATAAAAAGAAAAGATAGGCAAAATGTTTCTTTTTAGCATAATACATTTAGTTCCTCAACCTCCCATTTAAGAAGGTACATAATTAATCAACAATAGCTAACATCGTTCTCTTTGCGAGCTCGTCCCGACCCTATAGGAAAGGTACCAGTGCGGACGTTTGGCTAAAGAGATACCGAAGAGGTTGTCTTGCTATTATCAGTGGTGCGACATAACTTAAACACTGCTGTAGCTGGACACGGTGGTTCCCACCTGTAATCCCAGCACTCGGGAGGCAGACGCAGGAGGCTCGCGAGTTCGAGGCCAGCCTGGACTACACTATGAGACTCTGTCTCAAAACAAAATAAAACCCCCAAACAAAAAACCATCTGATCTAACTGCAAGGCTGTATCTTTCCACGAGGCTTCTCGGTAGCGAGAGAATATGGTTGCCGTGGTTCTGCTGGAGGTTACCCGCATTGGTAATCATCACTCGATTCCTTCAGCTCAGAATTTGACGCTAGTGTAGGAGGAGCCGGCGAGAGCCAATAACCCCGAACTCGCCACACCTTGCCGGACCCACCCAGAGAGCGACTCGCCCGCGCACCTCGTGACGCGACTTCGCCGCCCCGCCCCCTGCCGGCAGGGTCTCGCGAGATTTAGAACCCAATCGGACGAGCCCTCTTCACTGCCATTCTCCCTCTCCGTCCTCCACCATACCTCCCAGCAGCGACCAGTTTCTGGAGGAAAGTGTCCACCATGGTGTCGAGGAGCTTCACCCTCGAAATGGTACTTCCGGGTGTCCCGGATTCCAGAGATGACTCCTCAGGCCTTTTTTCTTCAGCAGCTGCCTGATTGGCGTTGTCCGCTTCAGCCATGTTGAAGTCGAACCGCCGAATCAGACTGGCACACCCGTCCCGCCCACCCGGGTCCCCGATTGGGTGCTCCTAAGCTGAGCGCTCCGGATTGGAACCACTGGAATGTCTATCAATCACCCAGCCGGAGGGGGAGGGACTAGAGAAGATGAACCGAGAATATGTGGTACATGTCCCCTGTTGCAGCCTCGAAAAATCTGCGCAAGCCGGAGCTGAGGGCGCAATAAAAACTTTTAATTACACTTCAGAGACGTCATACAGTGCAACAGTGAATATTAGCTGCTAACATTCACAAGAGTCCATTTTGTCAAGTGTTAAGTGAGCCTGATTTTCATTCCCTGTCCTTCAGTCCTCAGTCGCGTTTCCCTTGCCCAGTCTCCCAGTTTTTCTACTTTGGCTACCCTCCAATATATCAAAATTTCCAGCTGCTTTGGTCGCCAGTTAAGGGAAACAAGTAGTCCACTGCCCCTCCTCATCAAGATCTATTGTAAACCCATCCCGGGCCCTAAACAAGGAAAATAGGGGCCAGGGGTCCTTTTAATTTACACACGTCATCCAAACTCTCGTACGTGCGTGTTGTGTGAGAGAGAGAGAGAGAGAGAGAGAAAGACTATAAGGATATAAGGAGTCTGGAGTGGGAGGGAGAAAGAAACTAAAAAATACCTAATGCAGGAGGCAAATACCTTCTGTCCATATTTTACCACAGTAGGGAAAGATCTAAAACGAGTCTGTAGAGAGAGAAATTTGTAGAGCTGAGTAAACCAATCTTTGAAGGTCTTTGTAGGGCTGTGGCCCAAACAATAGAGTGCCTTCCTAGCAAGCTGGAGACCATTAGCTCAACCCCAGCACTGCCAAGGGTGTGTGTGTGGGAAGGCTCACTAGGAAAAGCTTAAAGAAAGAGGGTCCCTTGTTTCTATTACATTCGTGGTAAAGAGGTTAGGGGCTGAAAGATAACAGAATGATTTGTGGGCTCAACCCTTTGGATGACCATTTGTAGTATGAATTGGAGGACTCTCTTGACAAAGTGCAGGAAGGACAAACAAAATTTAAAAATAATGTGGTAGTGACAAAGGTAGAGAAATATGATTTTCAGATTCTGATCTGGCCAGGATGGAAGAATGTGGAGAAGCCATAAAATATCAAGGCTTCAGGTAGCTAGCACCTTTCAAATTGGCACCATGGCCTTTCCCAGGGGGTGGGACCATTAAAAAGGTTTAGAGGATCATCCAGGCCTAATGTCTCAAGAAGAAAGACAGGGTTTGGCTGCCTTCTTATTCCATTTGCTGCACCTCTCTGCCTGCAACACAGGCTTGGTGGAGGTGAATGAGAATGAGGCAAGGAAGGAGAAGCGCCATCTCCTAGCTCCTGAGGAGAGTTTCAACAGATAAGCTTGGCAGTATCGGGCTGGTAAATGCACTGGTCCTCGTATTGGGTAACTTCCTGAACTGTTCTTTATTCTCTTGCAAGCACAGAGTGCCATGACCGGGAAGACTCTTCACATCCAAAAAGAAAAAAAACATTCCTTATCTAAGAGATTTGCATCGTGAGACATCTGTTGTTGTGAGTGACTGACTAGGGTATATATGTGTCATGGCTACCTGGGGCCAAGAATCTCCACTACCTTCTCCTGGGCTTGGCTTGGCTCAGCTGACCTGAAGAGATATTATTATGGGGAACATACAGCCTCATGTCACTTTCCAAACCAATTTACTCTCTCAACTTGACTTTTCAGGGTTGTGCTCCAACTCCTGTGTACCCTTGGAAGCCTGATTTACTTAGAACTGTGCCCTCCACTCTTGTTATCTGGCTAAGGGAAGCCAACAGCTTATATTGTCCAGAGGGTCCTGAGACTGAAGGAGCACTGAAGGGACAATGGAGACATAAAGAACTGGGATTAAGGAAAAAAAACTACATGACATTTTTCCACTTGTCTGAGGAAGATGTGGGTTCTGACAGCAGGACTGGTACTTTAGCAGGTCTAAGACAATAGTCTGGTTCACAGATGTTTAAAAAATACATAAAATAAAGTATCAACATTTCTCCCCATCCTGGTAACTTCTCCAGAGAGGAAGAGTGCTCTGAAGAGCCAGAGGGGGGTTGCTGCTCCTACTCCTTGTGCAAAAGTGCCAGGCAACTTGCCCCAAGAGGCAGGGAAAAGTGGAATAGTCCAGTGGGCAGCTCAGTTCCAAATTAAAAATAAGCAAACCTAATGGATGAAGTGGGAAAGGACTGGGCAGCTGCTTAGAGTCTGGGCTGAAAACCCAAGAGGAAGAAGGAAGCAAGCTCTATGCACAGCTCTTTCCAGGGTCTCAGAAACAAATGGAAAAGGAAGCCAGAGAGATGCTTGCAGGGTGGGGGGGTGGGCTCTTCAGGGTAGTGGACTAAGTACAGGGGCTGAGTAAGGAAGCAGGAGAAATAAAAACAGTGGGGGCAGAGGAGCCAGGAATGGAACCTCTTCCACAAGAACAGTCCAAAGACTCTGCCCTGTCCCAGGTAGGCTACCTTGCCCAGGGCAGGGCTGGGTATATGGTGGGAGCATTAGAGAGGGCACTGTTCCCTGCTCTGCCCCAGCCCAGAGTAGTGTAGGAAACAGCAGGTTTCTCTGTCCACTGCTGGCTACCAGTGTCTCGAGTCCACCAGCTCAGGTCGGAGGCTGAGTTTCTTGAGACTCTCATAGCCCACCACAATGACAATAGTGGAGGGGGTGGCTGAGATGATTCGAGCAGAGAGGCCCTTCATGAGGCCCCAAGGCCCCTCTTCTGCTATCAGCTGTCTGAACGTCAGGATGATGGAGCTCTTGCCTTCAACCTGGAAAAGTCAACACAGGGAAGAACCAGTTTTCAGTTAGAACCACTCTGCTCAGTGCCCCTGCCTCAGACAAGTGGGGAGAATTAGACTTGGGAGTCAGAAGGGCTGGATCTACTTTGGAGGGATGCCAGACTGCCTGGGTTTGAAGTCTGCTGCCCGGCTAGCTAACAGCATAACCTTGAGTAATTTACTCACCTCTTTCCACCCCAGCTTCCTCAAATATAAAACTGTGATAATAGTATTTGTGCCATGAAGTTGTTCTGAACTAAAAGAAAGTAAATGCTGATAATATCTGGCAGACAGCAAGAGCTTGCTAAGTGTTAGCTGTTACTATCATTAGACAAGCTACTCTGAGTCTTTGGACAGGGTGTTTCTCTCTGGTCTTAAGAAGGCTGGATTCAATCCCCTCTAGGTCCTCTGTAGCTCTGCCAGTCTGTGATTTTTGACTCTGGTCATCTCAATCACTCTCAAGCCCAGAACTAGAATCCTCCCCTATCTTTAGTGCTCACAGACCCTGTGGCCTGTCTTTCCTATCACACTAAAAGCCTGGCTAAGGCAAGAATCTCTTCTTTCTTTCTCAACAGTCTTCCCCTCTGCCCCTACCCAAACCTTAGAGATCATTCCAAAACCTCCTCAGCCAATGCAGGGCAGAGGCACAACTTGTTCATAATTCTCTCCACCCAGTATAATGTGCACGGGTGGTCCTAGCCCTGGCTATGAACATCTCCCCATCCCTGCCTCCTTCAGCACCTTCCTCCACACTCTCTTCTACCTCTCCAGGACTCTCACTTGACCAGCTACGCTTCCCTAACCTCCCACATATCCACAGTCATCTCAAGGGCTTTTTCAGCTATGCCTCTGGCCTCCAGCCTGGGAGCTCCTCAAAACAGAAAGAACCATCCTTCCCCTAGGATCTCCTCCTAGGACATTCGGATGAAGCTCAGGAGAGAATGAGATGGACCCTTGCTCTCCATGATGACGGTGGAGGTTATTCTTTATTTGCAAACCAATCAAATGTTGATGTATTGATTTTCAAATGTTGGGGCGGCATTCTTTCTTAGGGACACAAATACCGATACTTGATACCTGTCTCCTTTGAACTCTGGTGACTTTATCTCCAACTTGTTAAGGTAGTCTTTCTTCCTTCCGTTTTTTCATGATAGCCCAATGACCACACTTTCCCAGTCATCTTTCTTGATTCTCCACCTTTCCTCTTAAGTTATGCATGAAAGACATTAAAATTCCCCTTTCTGGATTGGATGTGTGGCTCAAGCAGTAGAGCACCTGCTTTGCAAATGTAAAGTCCTGAGTTCAAACTGCAGTCCCACTTAAAAAAAAAAAAAAAAAAAAGATTCTTCTTAGCTAGGCACCGGTGGCTCATGCCTATAATCCTAGCTACTCAGGAGGAGATCAGGAAGATCAGTTTGAAGCTACCCTGGGCAAATAGTTTGTAAGACTCTAGCTCACAAAAACCCATCACAAAAAAGGGCTGGTGAAGTGGCTCAAGGTATAGTTTAAATAACAATACCAAAAAAAAAAAATCCCCCTTTTTCTCCACCTAAAATTTTATACAGCAAAACCTACCCTTTGCCTATCATACATCATCATTTGGAGTCTATGGAATTGTCTTTGGAGCTGACTGAAGACAGGGACTAATTTCTTGACAGCACCACCAATGGCTTTGTTAGTGAGTTTGCTGAGTGTACCTAGAACAATCTGTGAAACCTACTTAAGAACAGTCACTCCCACTCTCTGTGGAGAACCCATGCTCTAGTGGAAAAACAGACAGACTTAAAATATTAAGTGAAATCAGTATTTCTAGTAACTACAACCTGCAAAGGAAAGCATGGTTTCTAGTCTATGCTAATAGGCTACAGAATAGGAGTCCCAGCTTATGGCTGGAGGAAAACAGAATTACTGGACATGTTATGGGTGGAGGCATGCAAGGTAGCAAAAAGGGTAAGAGAAGCAATCTAGGTGCTTCTGAGTGCTCAGCTGTTTTTTGTAGATGGTAAGCACAAGGAAGGGGCTTGGTTGACCAGGAAAAGGCTAACTGGACTAGAAGACCATGACACAAAGAGGTCAGGGGGACACTGGAAGACCTAAAGGTTATACTTCTAGTTGCTTCTCTGGGAGGAGGCTAGTATTACCTGCACACGGGTTCGGATGACATCCATGGGATTGGTGAGTATGGAGGCAGTGGCTGCAGCCAGAGGCCCCGAGACAGCTTGAAAGACAATGTGAGGGCATTCCTTAGGACACAGGTACGAGAGCTGCTCTGGAATCCAGGGAAAGACAATGCCTCAAGATGTGAGGAACCACCCATCTGCCCTCACAATGCCCACTGCTTCTACCCAATGGCCTTTGCAACCATGACAAGCCCTCAGTCCTTCGCCAGCATGGACCTTTACACCTTTCTCTTCTCTGCTTCCACCTGCATCCAACAAAAATTCATATTATATATCTCAGGCCCTTTCCAGAAGTCATCTTGGTGGCATCACCCATTTAAACAGGACAAGATTCCTCTGTAGGAAAGGATTTCCAAACCTCTTTGCTGACTGACTCCTTTCACCTAATGGACAGAAAATCCATCCTGATGCAAAATCCATATGCATCTTGCTTACTCCTTATGACTCATGGGCTAGAAAAGCATACTCTAATATTTGATTATATATAATTTGCCAGTCCATGCAAAAAGTTAGTGGGATCCCATCTCAACCAATAAAGCTAGGTATGCTGGCACACACCTGTCACCCCAGCTACTCAGAAGGCATAAACTGGAGGATCTCAGTATAGGCCAGCCAAGCCAAAAATCTTCAAGACCCTATTTGAAAAAATAAATGAAGCAAAAAGGGCTGGGGCATGGTTCAAGTGGTAGTGCATCTGCCTAGCAAGTGCAAGGTCCTGAGTTCAAACACAGTACCACCAAAAAAACAAGCCAACAAAACAAAACAAGCTGGAGGTGTGGCTCAAGTGGTAGAGTGCCTGCCTAGCAAGCATGAAGTCCTGAGTTCAAATCCCAGTACCACAAAAGACAAAAACGAAACTATGACACTAATGGTCTCTATGGAAGGGGCCTGGGTGACTATGGTGGGTAAGGAGTCCTTTCATTGCATATTGCATATCTTTTGAATTTTGGACCATGTGAATGTTTTTATAAATTAAAAAACATTATAGTTTTTGTTTTTTGCAGTATTGGGGTTTGAACTCAGGATCTCACGCTTGCTAGGCAGACACTCTACCACTTGAGCCACACCTCCAGCCCATAAATAAAAATGATTAATTTAAAATAGAGAGTCTCATCCTATAGCAAGAACTTTTCACCAGCTTATATCAAGAAAGAACATTTCATTTTTAAAATACTAATGACAATTGAATGCTACTGGATGTACTACTTCCTGGCACCAATGAAAAATCCACCTGAAAATGAATTTTTTGCTTTACCTTCTCTGGAGGTGAAAGACAAGAGTTCATCCATTTATTCAAAGAGTTACTGAGTGACTACCATGAACCCTGGGTCCTGAGAACTTAACAGTGAATAAAAGTTCTTCAAATTCTCACCCTTAAAAAATGCACATTCTAGTGAGGGAAGACATGATAATTGAACAAAAAGAAAAATACATAGCCATATCAGAGGTGTGTGCTATAGGTAAAGATAAAGCAGGAAGGGTAAATAGGGAATACCAAGGATAGGGGTGAAAGGGTTGCCATTTTAAACAGGAAAGTAAAGTTTGGGCAAAGACCCCCAAGATAAGAGTGCAAGCCACACAGGATATCATCCTATGCAAAGGCCCTGAGGCAAGAGCATACCTAAAGTTTTCAAGGGACAGCAAGTCCATTAAGCTGGAGCAGAATGAGTGAGGGAAGGAACAGTAAATGACATCCAAGAGGTAAGTCATTAAGGGCCATAAGGCCACTAGGACTTAGGCTTTGGCCCTGAGTCAGATGGGACGTAAAACTCATAGAGCATTTCAAAGATTCCCTCTTGGTTTTCTCTAGTTAGTCATCACTCCTTTAAATTTTTTTTTTTCTCATGTGCCTAGTTTTGGTAGTTTGTGGCCAGGCAACTAAAGATTGGAGGAGAAGTAGAAAGGGGGTTGGTAGGGCAGAAGTCAGGGCTTCAAAGTCCCAGCTGGCATGGCAGAATTCCTTAAGCCCTTGCAGAACACCTCTCCCCCAGTTTCTAATCACTCTTTTCCAGAGCCAGCATGCAAACAAAAACAAAGTGAATTGGTGATATGAAGAAGGCATTTTGCAATCATTAGAATGTAGCATTGGGACTGGCACTGCCTGTCTCCTTGGGCCTGTCTTCACTGGCCCCAAGCTGCGTGGAATACAAATTCCAATCCTAATTATGCACATCACTTCCCTGGGGCTTGTGGAGGACAGAAAACACAAAGGCAAGAGAGTAGGCTTTGTCAGGTGTGGTGGTACCTCACTGTAATTCCAATACTTGAGAGGCCTAGGCAGGAGGATCATAAGTTTGAGCTGTCCTAGACTACATAGTGAGACCCTATCTCAAAAGAAGGTAGGCAAAAGAGTCCATATCTTTCCTTCTTCACCATTATTCATTCAAAAATGTTTACTGAGCACCTACTATCTAAAAGGCAAAAGATAAATCCAAACCACTTTGGTTTAAGTCTCTCCTGGCTAAATGACTTTGGACAAGTAATACAAATGAATATTGATTAATGTTTACTAGATGCCAGATACTGTAATAAATGCTACACACAAAAAAGAAATAAGTTCGGTGTGGTAATACATGCCTATAATCCCAGTACTCCAGAGGTGGAGGCAGAAGATCACAGCCTGGGCTACATAGGGAGACTCTATCTCAAATCAACAACAATGGGCTGGGGACATAGCTCAGTGATACAGTACTTGCCTAGAATGCTAAAGGCACCAGGTTGGATCCCAGCACCACACACACACACACACACACACACACACAGAGTTTAATACCTTCATGGAAATTATAGTCTAATAAGGTACTTCAAATTGGGGGTAAAATAAATGCAAATTATAACAAGTGCCAAAAAGGAAGCAAAGTGCTAAACTACAAAGCAGAAAGAATCCTCTTTCCAACAGGTAAAGAAGTTAATTTTGTAAAGGTGACATGTAAGCTAAGGCCTTAAGCATGAGGAGTCAGGCACGCAAAGAACAGGAGAAAGGGTGTCCCTGACAAAGAGCTCTACCTGCTACATCCCAGCTCTACAACTAGAGTTTAAAAGATCAGTGCTCTAGGGATGTATGCAATGGATGAATGATGAGAACTTAGAATAGCTAGAAGGGTGATGCAAAGGCCAAAAGGGTGGTACATAGGCATGATTTCTAGAGAAGGCAACAGAAATGGGGAGAAAGCTGGGAGAGTCCTTCTGGAGTAACCAGTTTTAGATGTGGGACAAGAAAGGAGTGATCTCCCTCTTCCACAGCTTCAGTCTCAGAAATCTGGAGAAAAGTAAGATCGCTGACAGATGAGAGTAAGTCTGAAGGAAGATCCAGCTTGGAATGAATACTTAACTGAATAAAATTTCATATGCAAGCCAGGCATTGCAGTACATGCCTATAATCCTAGCACTGGGGAGGCTGAAGCAAGAAGATCATGAGTTTGAGGCCAGCCTGGGCTACACAGTGAGACCCTGTCTCAAAAAACAAATGAAATTTTACATGTAAGTACATGCAACCTGTTGAGAGGCCCAACAGTCACAGTGCTAGTCAGACTACTGGACAAGTTAGTCCGGGAGTGGAAACAGACATCTGGAACAAATTGGAAGAATGCAGTTCAATGGTAACTGAAATCAAATAGGGAAAGAAGGCCAAAAACTTCTGAGAAAATGCTCACATTTCCTGAGATGCTGTTGTGTTTTGCTTTCCTTTTTTGCAGTGGTTGGGATCAACTGCAGGGTTACATGCATACTAGGCAAGGCTTCTACCACTGACCTAAATTCCCAGCCTTTCTAGTAAGCTTTTTTAACATTAAGAGTGCCAGGATCTGGGATGTGAGCATGGCTCAAGTGGTAAAGTGGCTACCTAAAAAGCTCAAGGCCCTGAGTTCAAATTCCAATATTGCCAAAAAAAAAAAAAAAAAGATTGCCAGGATCCATTCCCAAAGGTTCAAGTATGGAGTCCAGGAATCTAATTTTACCAAATAGTCAGATGATGAAAGATTGTGTTAAACAGAATAAACATAGCTAGCAAAAAAGAAGGTATGATCAAAAATATACTAAAAAAAGTACAGTGCCACAGAAGTCATTACAAAGTTGGGCCAAAAAAGTTCCACTTGGGTTAGGACAGAATGTCCCTTGTCAAAGGTAAGGAGCCAACAGCAGCAATTAGGAAGGTTAGAAGTATTGACTGCCCTAACCAGAGTTTGGTAGTTACTCAAAATTGTGGTAGCAGACACACCTGGGTCTTGTCCTTGGTGATGGTCTCTGCCATTTCAAAAGACAATCTAGTTGGATACCGGTGGCTCATCCCTGCAATCCTAGCTACTCAGGAGGCAGAGATCAGGGAGATCACGGATCAAACCAGCCTGGGCAAATAATTCTCCAGACCCTATCTTGAAAAAAAAAAACTTCACAAAAAAGAGCTGGTGGAGTGGCTCAAGGTATAGGCCCTGAGTTCAAGCACAAGTACCACAAAAAAATAAAAAGCCATTATCCATCAATTTTATCTTCAGATCTGAAACATTCCATACCTTGTTTTCCCTCACTGTCTCAATCTCTGCCAATATGCTACTAACCCAAGTTGATTACAATGCATCCACAGCATATGCTATACACTGTTCTATATTCATGTACTTTACTGGTCTGATGTCCCTAATTAGATTATAAACTCTGTGAAGGCAAGAACCATGTATTGTTTCCTTTTGAATCCTCTTGGATTCAAATGTTTTCTGAATGAATGGCCCATTCCCCCATTAAATCTCATCTCCACTCCAGCATACACAGAACAACAGTATCCCAGCCCAATTGGTAAGTCCACCATCCTCCCCAGCTCCCTCAGCCCCTGCTTACCTGCATAGAAGTGATAAAAGGGCCACCAGACAGCACTGTTTGGGATATATGTAAGCAGTGAAGCCACGTAGCCTCGGTAGAAGCCTCGAAGCCCATCAGCCCTCAGGATCTGCCTGATGATGTCCTTAGTTTGGCCAAAAGCAATGACGCCTTGTCCCTCTGGGTTCCCATGCACCTGGAAGCGGCCCATTTTCTCACCCTTGCGCTGCATCATCAGATGCTGGGAGACTACATCAATGGGCACTGTGATGCTCTGGGCCACCAGGGAGGCTGAGCCACCAGCCACAAGTGATTTGACTGTGTTGCTCTGGCTGTAGTCAGATACAAATTTCCGGGTGAGCTCGTAAGTGGTGACATAACACTGGCCGGAGATGAGTGTGAAAGTATTGACCAGGAACCCCCGGTAGAGACCCGACACGCCATCTGCACGTAGGATCTTGATGAACGCGTCAAAGGTCCCATGGTAGAGGCTCTTGCCCTTCTGAACCTGCAGTCGGGTGCGGATGAGGGTGAATGGGTATACACTGACACGGATCATCATTGTCATTGCCACACCAAACACATAGAACTTCTTCTTGTCCAGGTGTTCCCACTCGATGATCTGGATGTTGCGTTTGTCCTCCATTATGCTTGAGGACCTGAGATTTGGGCAGAGTAGAGGAATGTGAGGAAGGAAGTCAGAACTTTGTGTTTTCCTCTCCTGACTAGGCTCTGAAGCCCCCTTCTCAATTTCATCTCCTGGGACACTCACCTCCTCAAAGCTTAGACTTCACTCAGCCTGGCTGTGTCCATCCCTGTCCTTCACAGATCAGGATACTCTTCTGCCTTCTTCTCTGTCCTGGACCAGTCCTTCTCAACTCAGGTCCCCTCCTCCAGAAAACATTCTTCACTAGTGATTATACTAGCTGCATTCACCTCAGCTCCCTACCCCAACTTACAGGATTGTCCATCCTGAATGCTATTTCTGCCTGGATCATGGTGTCACACCCAGGCAAGAACACTCTCCTCATCTGGCTCACCCAGGCAGAGATCAGGATGCTATGGACAAACGAACCACTTGGCAGTATTCAGGGCCTTTAAGTGGGCTAATGGGCTATCACAAAGTGATATTTAGGAGGTTCCTGAAGGCTGAAAGAGAGAGCTCCAGTTTTGATGCTCCTGGGCTCACTGAAGAGGCACTACCTTTGGTTTTTCATCCTCAGCAAGTGCCATTTACCACTTGACCCATATTTTATTTCTGGTTTCCCATGCTGGTCACTCTGAGATCCCCAACACACCCTTACCACAGTTTATATTTTCTCCAGTCTTCATTAGAGAAGTGTGGGCAGAGTACAGGTGAGGCTTCACACTAAGGCACCCCTACCACCTTCACCCTCCAGGAAGAGAGAAAGTCAGATCAGGCCAAAGATCAGAGTCCTCTCTGGTTATTAGATAACTCACTCCAAAAAGAGAGAAAAAAAAAAAAATCTACCTGAGAATTAGTTTCCCTGAAGAGCCTGGAGAACCTACTACAGACATGTTTGACTTTGTGCTGTCAACACGAAGTATACAGACTGGCTCAGTCCTACAAAATAGGAAGAGAAGTGACACATGAAAAAGACTCTGCCTTTAGAATCTAAGTCATAAAGAGACACTGGATCCCTCTGAGAATGGATATAAAATACATAGGAAAAAAAAAAGAACAGGGCAAATTAATGTACATGTGTCCCACTTACAAAGTTAATCTGTTGCCTACAATTTCAAATCATCAGTAAGCTTACCAATGTAATAAGTTTGTAAAATCAGGAGCTTCACAGTTGCTGTGGTGGTAATGCCTACATTTCCAGCACTCAGCAGTCCGAGGCAGGAATATCGACATCTGGTTTCCCATGCTGGTCACTCTGAGATCCCCAACACACCCTTACCACAGTTTATATTTTCTCCAGTCTTCATTAGAAGAAAGTGTGGGCAAGAGTACAGGTGAGGCCTTCACACTACAAGGCACCCCTACCACCTTCCAACCCTCCAGGGAAAAGAGAAAGTCAGATCAGGCCAAAGATCAGAGTCCTCTCTGGTTATTAGATAACTCACTCCAAAAAGAGAGAAAAAAAAAAAATCTACCTGAGAATTAGTTTCCCTGAAGAGCCTGGAGAACCTACTACAGACATGTTTGACTTTGTGCTGTCAACACGAAGTATACAGACTGCAAGCTCAGTCCTACAAAATATAGGAAGAACAGTGACACAGAAAACAGACTCTGCCTTTGAGAAACTCACAGTCTATTCAAGGAGACACTGGATCCCTCTGGAGAATGGATATAAAATACATAGGAAAAAAAAAAAGAACAGGGCAAATTAATGTACATGTGTCCCACTTAACAAAGTTAATCTGTTGCCTACAATTTCAAATCAAGTCAGTAAGCTTACCAATGTAATAAGTTTGTAAAATCAGGAGCTTCACAGTCTGCTGTGGTGGTACATGCCTACATTTCCAGCACTCAGCAGTCCGAGGCAGGAATATCGACAGTGCAGGCCAGCCTAGGCAACATAGTGAGACCATGTCTCAAAAAACAGCAGAGCGGGGTAGGGGGATGTGGCTAAACAATATATACACATGTGAGTAAATGTAAAAAACATTAAACTTAAAAATTAAAACAAACAAACAAAAACCGGAAACTTCAAATTTAGGAAATGTGAAACCTGAGAACATCATATATTGGATATATATTTAGTGGTAATATCATGTGCTCTAGTGTGGCCCACCCCTGTTCTGTAGAATACTAAAAATTGAGAAATTTTCACCCAGACAGGGAAAGTAGAGAGTTAAGTTCTAGGAATTGAGAAGTTAAGGGCTCTCAGGCTTTGAATGAAATCCCTAAGGAGGTAGCCACATCAAAGGATGACTCTAGAGGACTGAAATGTTCTACACAAGCAGTTCCAGTGGTAAATCTCATACCATGTCTAATCAGGGTCCATCTTCAACCACCTTCCCCAACCAAAACTCCCAACTCAGCTCAGGTAGCTTTTGTTCCATGGGAACTACTCTTGGCTTACTATGGAAGTGTGTAGACAAACAAGGTTGGCTCTTCAGGCAGGAATCTGTGAGCTGCACTATGTCACTTTCATTAAAGTGTGGGCTACTCACAATGCAAACTGAGTACCTGAGAGCTGAGGCATGCATGGGTCAGGAACCAAGACAGGTTGCCTGGAGGACAAAGCAGAGTGAATGAAGGAAGAATAAATGTAGACAAAAGCAGAGAACAAGGGTTGAATGAGAAAACAGAAGTCAACTGGGTTGGCCAGAATGGAAAAATTTAGGCTGTGGAAAATAAGCCAGAGGTAGGATTCTGTAGGAAAAAGGACTCCTAGAACACTGCTATGCCATTGCTACAGGCAAAGGTGGTCCTTCTTCCCCTGCCTCAGCCTGAGGAATTCACCAAGACCATTAGGCAATCTTCTCTGAACCCTTCAAGAGAAAGTGGTTACTGTTTTTCCTCCCCAAAGTATTTAGCATCCAGGGTCCCAAAGTCATGTTTTGAATACCACTGAGAAATGAGAACATATAGGAAAACACTAGATTTACTGAATACCTATTTCTCATGCAAACCTTACAACTTAACCTGTATACAGTTAAATACTTCTGATAAATGAGGAAATGGAGTGTCAGGTTAAATGTAATAGGTCCAAAGTCATGTGGCTGGTCAGCAAGAAGGGGAGACAGAAGCCAAGATTTCTCCTCTACTCTGCCATGACACCCCATGGGAGTTGAAGATTCCAATACAAATCATTCTGAAAAATTTAAAACCAAGTCATTCCCACCCAAGGGAGGCAGAGTAAATGCCCTCATGACTGCAGGTCACCCAAGGGTTCAGCATAAATTTCTAGCCATGCAGATGCCCAGTGACTTCTCTCAGCTTTGTTCCAGAAAAAGGAAGCACTACCTCTGTTTCCCAGTGTGCTTGTGGAGTGACAGAGCTTAGTGGCTGAGTAGGTATGTTGTCATCACAGAACAAATACAGCAGGGTTCAAGCAGGAGGGCCTCCTACTGGGCACATGCAAACCACATGCTATGCAGGGCAGGAGAGAGCAAGGAAGGGTTCTGTTCCAGGTCCTAGTTTCATGGGTTCTCGCTCTCTTGTCTGTCTTTGAGATGCTGAGGTTTCAGCTCAGGACCTTGTACTTGCTGGCAGGTGTTCTACCACCTAAGCCTTGCTCCAGCTTCATGGGTGCCATCTCAAACTTGTCAAGCTGAATCACTTAGATAAGAAGTCCATTGCCCCATTTTCCCACTTGCCTCTATCTTTCCTATGTGTCAGTCAATTTTAAATTCCCAGAAGGAAGTTAAGGACTCTGCAAGGCAGCGTTGTTATGGTAACAGGAGAAGCCACTAAGGGTCATGCCTCATTTAAGCCACTACAGTAGAAGGGTGAAAGTGTGCCGCACCCACCCCTCTGTTCCTTTGAAAGGGGGAAGTTGCTCCTAAAAAGTGGGATCTCAACCTGCTCATTGTCACATAACTCCCAAACTTCCTGCTGAAATATCAAATACCCTCTAGAAAATCCTCTTTCCAGATACCTGTAAGCAAACTTCCTTCAGCCTTTCCTTCTCCCAATTCAGCCAGTCAAACATCTTTCTGGCCCTTTATAAGACCCTTATTTGTGTACCTAGCTCCAATTCCAGATTTTCTTCCACCTTTGAGACCACTTAGGCATGAATGCTTAAGGGCTCCTATGAGGATCCAATATGTGACTCAGGATTAGGGAGCAATTTGTTCTGAAGTTATCAAATGAAATGTCAGAGGCAGAGCCCCCACTGCTGACTCCACCAATAGAAAGGGACAAATTGACCCAAATGTGTACACCTCCTCTTCACTTCCATTCTCCTTGCACAAACAAAAACATACCAGACTAAAACTAAAATTCATTACATTAAGCTGGGATTCTGGCTCAGGAGAAAGCAGTGTCAACTGGAAGGTAAGGTGATGCTATGTAAAGAATGCTAGTCATCAGGAGATCCATGTTTGAGTTCCACTTTCATTACTTACTAGTGTAAGACTGGAACCAAATCACTTCATAGGATTTCAGTTTCCCCATCTGTGACATGGTGCTAATAAAGCCTGCCACAGCTATCTAACAGTTGTGGTGCAGCTCACAAAAGCTAATAATTGTGAAAACATTTTGTTAACAGTAAACTATTTGTTATTATAGAATAACAAAAATTACTGTATTGCACAGTAATGCTCTAAGTCCTTGCTACTCAGAGTGATTCACAGACCAGAATATGAGCATCATCTGGGTTGGCTAGAATTATATAATTTCAGAACCAGATGTGGTGATGCACACATGTAATCCCAGCATTCAGAAGGTTGGAGCAGGAGGATCGAAAGTTCAAGGCCAGCCCAGCTGGGGCTACACAGCAAGACCCTATCTCAAAAAAAGAAACAAAAAGAAAAAGGAAAACAAATAGAATTTCAGACTGCTTAGACCTGTTGAATAGGAGCTAATACTCTAACAAGATCTCTAGGTGACTTATATTAGCAATTTTCAGTATTATAAGAATTATAGCCAGAGAGGGTAGCTCACACCTGTAATCCCCTAGCTAGTTGGAAGGCCAGTCTGGGAAAATAGTTCTCCAGAGTCCATCTCCAAAATAACTAGAGCAAAATGGACTGGAGATGTGGGTCAAGTGGTTGGGCACCTGCTTTGCAAGCATGAAGCCCTGAGTTCAAACACCAGTTCCACCCACTCACCCACCACCCCAAAAAAAGAATTATAACAACTATTCTAGGAATCAGGACCATTATGCCTAGTTAGGGGCCTATGACTCCAACCTGACTTGTCAGTGAAACTGGGCATAATGATGACCACTTGGTTCATTTCCATTTTTTTCAGTCAACCACTCCACCAAATCAAGTCACCATGGTGTCTACCCATGGCTCCCCACTTCTCAGATGGAAAGAAGAATAAGGAGCAGCATCCTCCATTCCTTCTGTCCTCCCTACTGCATCTGCATCAGGCTCTGCATCCTGGGAGTTATTACCATACGACGTGAATACATTTGCATGCTTGCTCACCTGTCCTACATTTCCTTAAGCGAGGTCCCCAGCGATGTCTCCAATCCTTCCTTCCAGGTATCTCCCTCCGACATGGTGAGGTTCCCACCCAGCCTTCCTTGGTCTTCCATAGGTATCCACGTGATTTCTCATCACAGACACTATATGACAATCCTCCCCACATATTCCACGTGACACCCTCCTTTATGTAGCTTTGGTCCGGCCCCCTCGCAGCCAACTCTGGGTCCTCAAACATGCCCCTCGAATGCGTCTGTCGCTGTCAGCAAATCTAGTCCTCCTAGCAATACCTCACTGGATTTGTCCTTCACTCTCAAAACTACAAGGCGGTCTCCCACGACACTGCAGCCCGGCGTCACACACATCCGCTGCCTCTTTGACAAGTCCGGGTCCTCAGAGACCCTAGCCCTCAGCCACCCCTAGCACCATGTTTCTCTTACCTTCTCAGACCCCGGAGGTTCCACCGTGTCTGAGACGAACTCCAAGCCCGAACTTCTAGGCTGCAGCCCCAGCTCTGCCCTCCGTTCCCAGCGAATGACGGCTTCGGGTCGCATCTTCCTCCATCTCGACTAGAATCCCGGTACTGCCGGAACCGGAAAGTGCGACGCTGTCATTCCCGCCCCCAATTACTAGTGGGTCATCCCACCAATGCCGTTCTGAGTCTTTGAGCCGCCCCCAGGAAGCGAGGACCGGCGGCTACGACGGCCATCTTAGATTATGGCAGTAGCCACGCCTTCTTTAGCTTCGCTATGCTCTCAGCTCTACTGCGCGTGCGTGCGCTGCCTGGGCTCTTTCCAATTCGCGAAAATTAAGTCACCAGGGTGCTTCTTGAAGATCAAGTTGTAAAGATAGGTTATTTGTATTTCAGGATCTATTGAAAACTTTATGTTCAGATCTAATCATCATCATCTAATCTTTAATTTTTGTGTAGTTTTTATTTTTATAGAGCCAAAACAGTAGAGGTCAAAGTGCAACAGGAAAGACAAATTAAATAATCAATTTAGAACTTTGGTAACTCAAGAAATTGTAGAATCGGGACATCCTGGAGGTGGAGGTGACATTAAGACACTCAATCCAGTTGTGAAACTGGCTCTGCCTATATTTAATATATTTATGTATTCTATACTTCCAGGGTTTTTTTGTTTTTGTTGTTTTCTTTTTTGAAACACGGCAATGCTATGTAGATCAGGATGGCCCCAAAGTCGCCATCCTCCTGTCTCAGCATCCCCAGTACTGGGATTAGAGATATGCCCTACCTTTCATTTTTTCTTTTATTTTTGTTTTCAATTTCACTGAAAAATTGGAACATATCAGTGAGGTACCATGTACAGTTTTGATACATGTATACAGTGTGTAATGTTTAAGTCAGGTCAAACATTATTATTTATTATTATTTTCAGAGGACTAGGGTTTGAACACGGCTTCACGTTTGCAAAGCAGGTGCTCTCCACTCCTTGAGCTGCACCTCCAGTCCCTTTTGCTCTGGTTGTTTTGGAGATAGGGTCTGGCAAAATATTGCCAATGCTGGCCTGGAACCTGAGCTCAGTCTTCCCAAGTAGCTAGGAATAGGCATGAGCCACCAGTGCCTTGTTATCTTTTCCTTTTTTTTTTTTCCTCGGTGCTAGAACCCAGGGCCTCACACACCATAGGCAAGTGCTCTACCACTGAGCTATATTTCCTCATCTTTTGTCTTTTTTTTTTTTTTGCAGTACTGGGGTTTGAACTCAGTACTGCACCTTGAGCCACTCCACCAGCCCTTTTTAGTGATTTTTTTTTTCAAGATAAGTTCTCATTTATTTATTTATTTGCCCAGACTGGTTTTGAACCATGATCTTCCTGATCTCTGCCTCCTGAGTACCTAGGATTACATGTGTAAGCCACCAGCACCTGGCTTGTCTCTTTGATAATAGCCAGTCTTATTGGAGTAAGGCAGTATCTCATATCTCATTGTGGTTTGGTTTTCATTTCCCTGATGTTAGCATTTTTTTCATATTCCTATTGGCCATTTGTATATCCTTTTTTGAGAAATGTCTAGTTAAGATTATGTTCTGAATATTAATCCCTTGTCAGATGTATAATTTGCAAGTGTTTTCTCCCATTCTGTAAGTTGTTGCTTCACTAAGATGATTGTTTCATTTGCTGTGCAGAAGCTTCTTAGGTTGTTTCCTGTGCTTTTGGGGTCTTGTGCAAAAAATCCAACCCCATTCCAATATTCTGAAGCATTTCTCTGTTTTCTTCTAGTAGTTTCATGGTTTCATGTCTTACATTTAAATCTTTAATCCATTTTGAACTGATTTTGTAACTGGTTAGAGAGAGGAATCTAGTTCCATTCTTTTGCATGTGGATACCCAATCTAATCTTCCCAGCATCATTTATTGCAAAGGCTGTCCTTTTTTTTTGCAGTACTGGGGTTTGAACTCAGGGCCTACATCTTGAGCCACAGAACCAGCCCTTTTTTGTGAAAGGTTTTTTCAACATAGGGTTTCATGAACTATCTCCCCAGGCCAGCTTCAAACCGAAATCCTCCTGATCTCTGTCTCCTGAGTAGCTAGGATTACAGGTGTGAGCCACTGGCACTTAGCTAGGGCTATCCTTTCTCCAATGCATGTTCTTACCACATTTTTCAAGACTCAGTTGATTGTGGACCTGTGCATTTATTTCTAGGCTCTCTGGTCTGTTCTATTGGTCTCACATGTCTGTTTTTATGCCAATACCATGCTCTTTTGATTACTGTAGCTTTGTAGTATATTTTTGGTCAAGTAGTATGCCTCCTGCCTTGCTTTTTTTACTTGATTGATTTGGCTATTGTGAGAATCAGCTTAGGTTGGGTCTTTACTCTTGAAGAATTTAGTCAGTAACCACTGCTGTTACAAATGTTAGTCTCACTAACTCAATTCCCATACGCTTCATTGACTCTGCTTAACCTGACAAAAGTTTCTATTAAGAACAAAGAGTTGCTGGGCACCAGTGTCTCATACCTGTAATTCTAGCTACTCAGGAGGCAGAGATCAGGAAGATCACAGTTCGAAGTCAGCCCAGGCAAATAGTTTTCCAGACCCTGTCTCAAAAAAACCCATCACAAAAATAGGACCAGTGGAGTGGCTCTAGGTGAAGGCTCTGAGTTCAAACTGCACTACCACAAAAATAAATAAATAAAAGAACAAAGTGTTGTTATCCTTGGCCAGACAAAATTCCACTAGATTCCCTGGTTCCGGAGCTGATAACCTAGAACAGCTATTGCTTCCCTGAACTTCTGAACTTTTCCCTATGTCCCCTTTTCAGTAAACCAACCATGTAGACTGTGAACCCAAAACCTGCCCTATCCAGGGGAGGGGCAATATTGTATTAGAGATAAAACCCAAGTGGACTTCCTGCCCAGTGTGCTTGCTCTTTGTCTGTGGCACACAAAGTAAATTTTGCCTTGCCTGTTGACTTCTGAGTTGTGTTGCCTCTTTCTCATGACACCCCAATATCTTAAAGACATTTTTAACAGATATTCAGGATGTTTTGTGGTTCCATACAGATTTTAGGATTGTTTTTCAAGATCTGTGAAGAATGTCATTGGTGTTTTGATAGGGATTTCGTTGAATTTGTAGATCATACTTGAATAGTATGACTTTGTTAGTGTGTGTGCTGGGGATTGAACTTTTGACGAAGTTTCTGACATCACAATGACAAATACAATCAAGGTGACCATAGCATACCTACTTTAAGAAAAGCCATTCTGTCTAAGTAAAGATTTACACAATAAGAGATATAAATTTAAAGTGAAACTGCTTCTCAAAATGCATCTCACTATACTGAATGCGTCAGTATAGGATGATCACAAATGCATGCATGGGGTTGTACACTGAGCTACAACCCCAGTCCAGTATGTACATTTTTTTTTGGGGGGGAGAGGTTTTTTTTTTGTCTTTTCTTTTTTGGTGCTGGGATCGAACCCAGGGCCTCACGCATGCTAGGCAAGCACTGCACCACCGAGCTACATCGTAGCCCCAGTATGTACATTTTAACAATATTGATTCTTCTAATTCATGAACTTGGATGTCTTTCCATTTTTTGGTCCTCTGTAATTTCTTTAATGAATATTTTATAGTTTTCATTATAGATATCTTTCACTTCTTTGCTTAAATTTGTTATTAGTTGCTTTGTTTAGGTGTAGCTATTGTAGGATGCTGCACTGGTAGTAGCAGTCAGCTTCAGGGTCACAGGAAGTGCCAGTCTCCCAAGACTGTGCATGTGTATGTGTGTGTGCTGCTGGGGATTGAACCCAAGGCCTTGTGCATGCTAGGCAAGTGCTGTACTCCTGGCTGTACCCCAGCTACGGTAGCTATTGTAAATGGGGTTGCTTTTTTATTTTCTCTTTCTCTCTCCTTTCTCTCTCTCTCTCAGTGAGGTTTGAACTCAGAGCCTTTGAACTTAGAGCCTTGTACTCTAAAGTAGGCAGGCCCTCTACCATTTGAGCCATTCCACCAGCAAAAATATTTCTTAGCTTTTCTTTTTTTTTTAACTTTTTTATTAGTATACATTGACGGGCACCAGTGGCTCACACTGTTATCCTAGCTACTCAGGAGGCAGAGATCAGGAGGATCATGGTTCAAAGCCAGCCTGGGCAAATAGTTCAAAAGACACTATCTTGAAAAAAATCCATCACAAGAAAAGGGCTGGTGGAGTGGCTCAAGGTGTAGGCCCTGAGTTCAAACTCCAGTACCACAAAAAAAAAAGGGTGGTAAATGACTTGAATAGACCCTCTTCCAAAGAAAATATACAAATGGCAAGGACACCCAGGAAACAACATTAGTCATTACAACAATGCAAATGAAAACCAAGTCAGTGAGATACCACTTCACAATCACTAGGGTAGCTAAAATTAAAACATACAAGCAGACTGGACATGTGGCCCAGGGGTAGAACACTTACCTAGGGTGTGGAAGGCCCTGGGTTTGATCCCCACACTGCAAAAACAAAATGAACAAAAGCCCCAGAAAATAACAAGCATTGGTAAGGATGTGGACAACTTGGAACCCTGGAACATTGCTGGTGGGAATATAAAATGGTGCAGCGGCAGCACTTCCCCAATAAGCTAAACATAGAATTAGCATAAGGCTCAGCAATTTCACTCCTGGATAGAGAACTAAACAGACATTCTCACAAACACACATGAATGTTCATAGCAGCACTATTCACGTTAGCTCAAAGTAGAAACAACCCAAATGTTCAACTCCTGAATGAGTAAACAAAATACGGTATATCCATATAATGGAATATCATTCAGGGATTAAAAAAGTATGAAGCGATGAAAAAGGAGGAAACTGATAGTTGCAACAACATAGATGAACCTTGAAACCATTATGCTAAGTGAGATAGTCTAGACACAAAGCCCAGCTGTTATGGACTCTCGTTTATATGAAATACTATTCTAAACAAATCTACATAGACAGGAGCAGATTAGTAGATAAGCAGTTGCCAGGGGCTGGCGGGAGGGAGCCTAAGGAGTGACTGATTAATGAGGATAAGATTTGTTTTCCTTTTTTTTTTTTTTTTTTCTTTTGTTTGGCAGTACTGGGGTTTGAACTCAGGGCCTCATGCTTGCTACCACGTGAATCATTCTGCCAGGATTTCCTCTTCAGGTGAAGAGAATGGTCTACAACTAGACAGTAGAGGTTGTTGCACGACATTGTGAAAGCGCTAAATACCATTAATGGTGCATTTAAGTTGTGCGTGCTTTAGTATGACAAAAAATTAATATCTCTCACTCTCTTTGCTTCCCAGTTACCATGAGCAAAGCTGCTCCCCCACGCCCTCTCCAACCAGGAGGTTCTAGCTCTTTTTTTGTTGTACTGGGGTTTGAACTCAGGCTCTTGTACTTGCTAGGCAGCCACTCTACCACTTGAGCCACACCGCCATCCCTACCAGAAGGTTCTGCCTAGTCACAGGCCCACAGTAATGGGGCCAATCATGGACTAAAACCTCTGAAACCATAAGCCAAAATAAATCCTTCCTTTCTTAAAATATTGATCTCTCAAAGATGGATCCTTGCCAAGTGCTGGTAGCTAATGCCTGTGATCCTAGATACTAAGGAAGACAACCTCCCCAGTATGGATGGGAACTCATCTAATCAGTTGAAAGGCCTTGCAAAAAGTTCATGAGACCCCCATCTTCAAAATAACCACAGCAAAATGAAGTGGAGGTGTGGCTCAAGTGGATGAGCTCCTGCTTTACAAGCACAAAGCCCTGAGTTCAAACACCATCCAAAAGGCTGGTAGAGTGGCTCAAGCATAAAGAGTGCCTGCCTAGCAAGCATGAGGCCCTGAGTTCAAATCCCAATGCTGCCAAAATAAATAAATAAATAAAAACCCAGTCCCACCAAAAAATGGACCCTTCCTCATGAACTCCAAACTTGTGCTAACAACTGCCTCAAATAGCGCTAATGGACATTTCAATCTTAATATGATGGGTAACTTTCTATCAATTTAGATAGGCTATACTATCTAGTTTTTAAGTCAGACACTGATCTCAAACACTAACCTAGGCATTGCTATGAAGGCATTTTGTAGGTGTGGTTAACAACTATACTCAGTTGAGTTTAAGTAAGGGAGACTACCTCCATAGTGTAGGTGGGATTCATCTACCCAGTTGAAAGGCCTTGTGAGCAAAACTGAAGTTTCCCCAGGAAGAAATTCATCAAGATTGCAACTTCAGGGCTGGCACCTGTGACTCTAAGGCAGGAGGATCATTAGTTTGAGGCCAGCCTTAGTGAGACCTTGTCTCAAAACAACAATATGTAGTTCAGTGTTACAGCTCTTGCCTAGCATGAGCAAGGTCCTGGATTCCATCCCCAGCACCTAAAAAAAAAAAAAAAAAATCAGCTCCTGTCCCCAGAGTTCCCAGCCTACAGGTTTACCCTACAGATTTGGACTTGACAGCTTCACAATATATACTTAAGCATTGGAAGGACAGGTAGGACATATCTCTTATTTCTCTGTAGAACCTGGACTGACAGTGTGGTGGAATCCTATTCCTTCCCACATCTGACCTGTCTACTGTCTGCCTCATCTCAGACTATTGGTAGTTCTCTTTCCATTTGACCAGGATAAAAGACTGTCCATCTTTGACTGTTCTCTTTTTCTGTGTGCAATGCAGATCAGATATCATTGGTTTTATTTTAAAGCTATGGCCAGAACTCAACCAGTTCCCAGCACCTCCATAGGACCACCCAGGTCCCAGCCACCATCTTTTCTCACTGGATTTTCCCAGGAGCTTCCTCATTAGCCTCTGATTCTACCCCTGCTTCTGCTACATTCTAGTCTCAATAAAGCAGCAGAGTGATTTTCTTCCTCCTTTTTTTTTTTTTTTGAAGTACTGGGACTTGAACTCAGGGCCTACACCTTGAGCCACTCCACCAGCTCTTTATTGTAATGGTTGTTTTCTGAGATAGGGTCTCATGAACTATTTGCCATGGCTAGCTTCCAACTACAAGCCTCCTGATCTCTGCCTCCTGAGCAGCTAGGATTACCGGACGTGAGATAGGATCTCTCTGTATTGCCCAAGCTGGTCTCGAATTCCTGGACTCAAGTGATCCTCCCATCTCAGCCTGGCAAGTAGTTTGGACTTCAGGCACACATCAGTGATCCTTTTGAACTGTAAATCAGATTGTGACTCTCTTGTGTTCCAGTCAGTGGGTCCTCATTTCATTCATAGTAGACACCGAAACCTTTATAAAGTCCCATAGTGATACTGGATTGTTGTTCCCAGGTTCATGTCCTGGCATAGTCTATGATTGAAGATGCTGGACTAGGAGTTAAGAGTTAGAGCAAGCACAAAGTTTATTGAAAGGATAGCAAAGCACCCTGATGGGTGGGATTTAGTGAAAGGGCTGAGTCATAGAATAGCTGGAGTCAAAAGATTACATAGGGACCTGACTTTAGGCACCCCCCTCTTACTCTACTTTGAAGTTGCATCTATAATTGGCTATCTGATTAGCTTCTTGCTGAACCCAACCATCTGGTTGCCCCCATCCTTATCTAAGTAGACATTCCAAGAGGGTCTCATTAGCCCATCCTGTCCTTGAAACTTGTTGTGTACATTTTATGACTATGCTCGTTATTTTGGTGAGACCCCTTTTCTTTTATCTTGGGAAAGTTTGCTGTGTTACTTTCCTCTAGGGGTCCATATTTCATCTCTTTAATGTCTGCCTATAGGAATGCTTTGTTTCCCTTATCTAGGAAAAAAAAGACCACTGTGCTTTACCACCTGCGTAAGAAGCCTATTTCTCATGTCTCTTAGATATTTGCTTTTAAGAACAACTTCCTGTCTCCTTTATCTAAAACAAAGTTACTTCTGCCATTTGTTCCCTTTACATTCCCAGGAGACTTCCTGTCTCCTTTATCTAAAACAAAGTTACTTCTGCCATTTGTTCCCTTTACATTCCCAGGGTCGTTTCTGTCCCTTGTTCCCAGAAACATTTCTGCCATTTTATTTCCAAAGCTATTCTTGCCATTTATTTCCCCTCACATTTGTCCCCTTACAAAAGGACCGGCAGAGTAGCTCAAGTGGTATAGTACCTGCCTAGCAAGCTTGAGGCCCTGTATTCAAATCCTAGTACTGCAAAAAAAAAAAATCAGAACAGGGTCAAAGACCCCTGGACAGCAATGTGGTCAGACAATTTAGGGACAGAAAACGGAAGTGACAAACTGATGGCAATGTGATGTTTTGCCTTATTTGAGGAGGCAGAGATCACGAGGATCCTAGTTCAGCCAGCCTGAGGAAATAGTTAGAGAGACCCGATCTTGAAAAACCTTCACAAAAAAAGGGCTGGCATAGTGTCTCAAGGTGGAGGCCCTGAGTTCAAACCTCAATACCAACAACAACAACAACAACAAAAGAGTGATTGTACTAAGCTAGTTGTACTAAATTGGGTTACCGCAGAGGCGTCGCAGGCTTAATTTAATTGAACACTGTTGTTTCTATACATTGTCTTTCACACTAGAATGCATGCTCCATAAAATAGATAAGAATGGTGTCTATTTTGTGCCACTGATGTTGAGGCAGGTTAAGATTAGGGACAGTTTGGGACTACTCCCCTTCCTGACTCAAGGAGCTCCTCCCCCTAGCCCACAGGTCAGAGAAGCCAAGTAACGAAGTACTCTCTTCCTACCTCCAATCAAGATGTTATAAAAATGACCCACAAAAGACCACAGCACCTCCTTTCATCTGGCAGAGCCAATGCTTCCCCTTCCCTTAAGAAAACTTTTCTGCCTCACCTGTTCTGCTTGGATCCTTCCATGCCAGAGCGCAAGAACCAAAATCTTCTGAAAACACCGTTTGCTGTTGACAATGTGTCCTCAGCACCTAACAGTGCCTGTCACACCATGGGTGCACAATACATTTTTATGAATGGATTTCAGCATGGGGTGGGTGCCTACCACGTTACAGGCACACAAGTGCAGTGAGAAAGTAGCACTGTGTGAGGGTTACACGCGGGTGCAAATAGGGCACTAACAGCATCCAGGTAGAGGTAGCAAGCCCAAAGGAACCTCACTGCTGGTTTCCTGAAGGCAGGCCATCTGTCTAGTTCCATTGGTGGGCACTCAACAAGGGTTTCCATGAAACCACATGGAGGACTCAGGTATTGTAAGTCATGCCAGGCAGGTATAGGGGAGCTGGAGACAAAGCACACCAGTCCTGAGAGTCTTTATTTTATATTCTGAATTTAATGAAAGCCACTTAGCATCTGAGGCAGAATTTGTGTTTAGAAAGCTCTCCCTGCCCTTGAGTGGTATGGAGTGGATGGATGAGAGGAGAAAAGGTAACAGAGATTGGATAGGGGTCTGCTGGGGTTGTCCTGGGGGATGGTATGTCCCAGTGGACTGGAGAGATGCTAAGGAATTCCAGGAAGAGGGAGAAAGTCAAGGAGAGGTACTTGGTGGCCCTCTAAATGTGGAAGGGGAGGGAGAGGGCTTATAGGGTGAGTCCCAAGTGTCTGCACTGCAGTGTGATTAAATAACATGGAGAGAGCCGGGCACCTGTGGCTCAGCCTGCAATTCCAGCCACTCAGAAGGATTGTGGTTCAAAGCCGGCCTGGGCAAATAGCTCTCAAGACCTGATCTTGAAAAGAACCCTCACAAAAAAGGACTGGTGGAGTGGCTCAAGTGGTAGATCACCTGCCTAGCAAGCATGAGACCCTGAGTTCAAATCCCAGTACCACAAAAAAAAGAAAAGAAAAGAAGGTGTAGGCTCTGAGTTCAAGCCCCAGTACCGCAAAAAAAAAAAAAAAAAAAAAAAGCATGGAGAGTGAATGGGGAACAGGTTTGGAGGGAATGATAAACCCAGTTTGAACATGTTGCTCTAGAAATGTCTTTGGTGTGTCCAGGAGGCAGAAAGCCTGAGTTGGGGGGGAGGGGGAGGACAGGGGAGGTGAGGGGGGAGGACGGGGGAGGGTGGGAAGGGGAGAGAAATGACTCAAACATTGTATGCACATATGAATAAAAGAAAAGAAAAGAAAGCCTGAGTTAGCAATACAATGTCCTACAATATCCCCACCCCTCTCCCCACCACCCTCTACCCCAGCTCTCACTGTTATTGGTCTGTCCCTACAGCTGGACTGTAAGCCCTGTGAAGACAGGAAACAAGCCTGGATCAGATTTTTCCCCATTGTCTAGGGCAGATTCTTTCTTTCTTTCCTTCCTTCCTCCCTTCCTTTCCCCCTCCCTCCCTCCCTCTTTCCTTCCTTCCTTCCTTCTTCCCTTCCTTTCCTTTCTTAATGGTACTGGGGCTTGAACGCTGGGCCTCACACTTGCTAGGCAGGAACTCTACCACTTAAGCCACTCTGCCAGCCTACGGTGGATTCTTAATCATATTGGTATTGAGTGTCTGCCTGCTGAATGAATGCATGGGCATCCTTGGTTAAGAGGTGGAAGTAGTTGGGGGTGGTGGCTCACCCCTGTAATCCTAGCTACTTGGGAGGTAGATATTAGGAAGGTCACAGTTCAGGGCTGGCCCTGGCAAAAAGTTCTCAAGAGCACATCTCAATCAATGGCCAGGTGTGTGGTACAGCCTGTTGTCCCCAGGAGGCACAAATAGGAAGACTGTGATCTGGGCTGGTCCTGGGCATGAAGCAAGATCCTTGTTTTTTGGTTTTTTTTTTTTTTTTCAATACTGGGGTTTGAACTCAGGGCCTACACCTTAAGCTGCTGCACCAGCCCTTTTTTGTGATTTTTTTTTTTTTTCTGAGATAGGGTCTCATGAACTATTTGCCCAGGCTGGCTTTAAACCATGATTCTCCTGATTTCTGCCTCCTGAGTAGCTAGGATTACAGATGTGAGCCACTGGTACCCTGCATGAAACAAGATCCTGTCTTAAAAACAACCAATGCAGAAAGGACTCAATTGGTAGAGTGCCTATTTAGTAAGCCCAGGGCCCTGAGTTCAAACCCCAGTTCCACAAGAAAAAATAAAAAGAGGTAGGAGTTGCCATTGCAGCAATAGTCAGGAAGACATTAACCATGGGTCCTTTTAAAGGGAAAGAGGAGTCCTTAAAGGAAACTACAAAGTAGAGGCTAAACAGAAAGAAAGTGAGGAGGAACCCTGTAGCCAGAGATCAAAGGACCAGTGTTAGGGAAGGAATTGTCACCATGAGAGAATTCCTAAAACTCAACAGCAAAATAAGCAACTTTGATTCAGCAGCAGGCAAAATATTTGAGTAGACATCCCTTCAAAGATGATACACAAATGGCCAATGAGCACATGAAAAGAGTCTCAATTATCACTAGACATCAGAAAAATGCAAATCATTAAGATGGCTACTAGCAGACAAACCACCACCACCAACAACAGCAACAAAACAAAAAACAGAAAATACCAAGGGGTGGAGGGGATGTGGAGAAACTGGAATGCCTGTGCACTGCTGGTGGGAATGTTAAATGGTACACCTGCTATGGAAAACACAATAGTTCTCAAAAAAGTTAAACATGGTATTTCTGTATGACCCAGCAATTTCCATGTCTGGGTATACATCCAAAGGAACTGAGAACAGGGTCTTGAAGAGATAGCTATGCACCTACGTACAAAGCAGCATTATTCACACTAGCTAAAACATGGAAGAAACTTAGTATCATTGACAGTGAATGGAAAAGCAAAATATGGAGGAAACAGACACACACACACCCCACGTGATGTTGAGGGAGGCAGAGAGTGGTTGGAAAGGGGTATATTAGTCAGGATTTCTGGGGAGACAGAACCAATAGGACAGATGGATGGATGGCTAGATGATTGATGAAATGGGATTTATTAAGGAATAAACTCACATGACTATGGAGACTAGCAGTCCTATGACAGGCCATCTGCAAACTGGAGAACCTGGGATGCTGGTAGCAAGCTCAGTCCAAGTCCTGAAGCCCCAGGCAGGACCCAGGAAGCCGATGGTATGACTCTCAGCCTGAGAGCCTAGGGTCCTGGTGTCCCAAGGCTAGAGAGGTTGGAGTTCTGATGTTCAAGGGCAGGAGGAGGAGAAAGTTCCAGCTCCAGGAAGAAGGAAATCCTTTTCTCTGCCTTTTTGTTCTATTCTGGCTTCCAGCCAATTGGATGGTGCTCACCCACATTGAGGGTGGGTCTTCCCCACTCAGACCAGGACTCACACACCAGTCTCTGGAAATGCCCTCACAGACATACAAAAGTAACACGTTACAAGGTTTCTAGGTAGTCCTTAACCCTAACAAGCTAGCACCTAAAATTAACCATCAGAGGGAAATTGTTCTAGAAGCTATTGGATGACTTGGATAAAGATGTCTATCTAGCAGGCTTCTGTGCTCCAGCCAGTATAAGAAGAAAGCTTGGCTCTGGAGCTGTATAACTGGTGGTGAGGGATCCACAATGTTCTAAAGCAGGAAGATTTCACTGCCCATTCTTTTCATCCACCAAGTGAAGGAATCAAGGTACAAACAGGAAGAGCTGTTCAAGTGTATTAACATCACGAGGACCCCAGGAGTCCAATGTCAGTCCAGTGCCCTTCCCACTGCCCCATGCTATAGGCCCTTGGTCCAGCGGTCATCAGGGGAACAGAAAGACCAAGAAAGCTAATGGTGTGACTCAGTCTGAGACTGAGAAATCTGGGAAAAGGTTCTTGGAATGGTAAAGGATGGGCCTTTGGATAAAAGTGCCTTGGATAGAGACAAGGAAGAAAACGAACCAGCAGGGGGAAGAGAAATAACTAAAGAAGCCAAGCAGCTTCAATAAAATAACACCATAGTAGACAGGATCTGGAGAAGATATTTGCACACCTATGTTCATTGTAGAAATATTCACAAGATCCAAAGGTAGAAGCAACCTAAATGCCCATCTATGGATGAATGGATAAAGAAAATGCCAGGCATGATGGATCACGCCTGTAATCCAGCACTCTGAAGGTCAATGGAAGAGGATATTGGGTTCTAGGATTGCTTGGGCTACGTAGCAAGACTATCTCAAAAAAACAAAGGAACAGTCTGGCACCTGTGACTCACGCCTATAATACTAGCTACTCAGGAGGCAGAAATCAGGAGGATCATGGTTCAAAGCCAGCCCTGGGACCTTATCACGAGACCTTATCTTGAAAAAACCCATCACAAAAAAAAGGGCTGATGGAGTGGCTCAAGTTGTAGGCCCTGAGTTCAAACTCCAGTACTGAAAAAAAAATTACCCAACACAAAAAGGACTGGTGGAGTGGCTCAAGCAGTAAGAGCACCAGCCTAGCAAATGTGAGGCCCTGAGTTCAAACCCCACTGCTGCCAAGAAAAAAAAAAAAACAAAACCCAAGACCAACAAAACAAAAATAAAAAGAAAGAATTGAATGAAGAAAGAGAAAAAAAGAAAAAGAAAGAAGAAAATGCAGTTCAACCTTAAAAAAGGAAATTCTGTCATGTTCACCTCCTGGGTGAACCTGGAGGACATATGCTAAGTGAAATAAGTCAGTCATAAAAGGACAAATATATGGTTCCATTTATAGGAGATACCTAGAGCAGTCAAACACACAGAAATAAAAAGTAGAATAGTAATTGCTAGGGGATGGGGCGGAGTTGTTTCATGGATACAGAGTTTTAGTTTTGCAAAATGAAAGAGTCCTGTAAGAGTGCTGGGATCATAGGCATGGGCCACCCTACTTGGAATGTTTTTTTTTCACACAGAGCACACCTGTAGGTGTGATGAGGGAGTGGGTAGGTGAGGTGGGGGCCATGGTGGGGGCCAAATAACTTATGGATATAGAGAAGGAACTAACACACCAGCTCGCCTGGGCTAGAGGAGGGCAGAAGGCAAGTGCCTTCATGACAGGAGGGATGGGGGGAGGTATGTGGAGGTGTGGACAGTCTTGTTTGTCAGATATGGAGAGGGGATGTGGCCAAGATGGGGATGGCTGCACAGTCTTTCTATAAATTTGTCTACCAAGTGTCAAAGCCAACTTCTGGGGGCGGGGCCTGAGCTGAAGTCACTAGCAATGTGGGAGATCTGGGGACAGCAACTGTGGCAACTGCGGCCAGGGAGTCAGTGGCAGATGAGCTGTCACTGGGGCTGGGAGGGTAGCAGAGGTAGGAGAGTCTGAGGGAGCACGACCCTACAAGCCTAGTCCTCCTCCCTGCTAATACTCTCAAGCTGCCTGCTTCTAGCACATACAGGCCACCCTCTGCCTGTCCCCAAAAACCAGTCAAGCTTTGTCTTTTAATAAAAAATAAATTGTCTTTAACAAGCAGTCCCAAAACAAAGGGAAGAGGAAAGGAAAGAGATCAAGGGGTCGGCCAGGGTAAGGGAGTGAATGAGGCTCAGATTTGCCTTAGCCAGGGCAAAGGATAACAATCTGCCCAAACTGGAGCAAAAAGGAAGGTGGTCATATTTCAGGAAAGACTTCCTTGGAATCACTGTGCATGGCTGGTAAGGGAGAACATGAAGGAGCAGCTTCCTGCAGAGTCTTAGAGACCCCTGGGAGAGGAGAGAGTTGGTGTCCAAGGTAGCAGCTGCTTTCATAGTGGTGTCTTAACTTACGGTGTTGGGATGTTTGGCCTTCATTACCATAGGGTCCTGGAACTGTCACCTGGAGCACTCTGCTTTCAGAGGGTCTCTGGAATGGCCAGAAGGGAAGGGTCTTCTCCAGCTTCTCCTGTCGTAGCACAGGTGCAGATCTAGGGCAGTCCCCAACCTGTTACAGAGTCCCCATGTGCTTAGCACAAGGGAGTCCCACAGGGGAGGCGGGCTGTGGATGCTTTCAGTGGTACAGAGTGGCAGAAGAGGCTCCAACCATGGGAGGAAGATGGTTGTCTGTGCCATTCCCACCCTACTCAAAGCTGCCCTGCTCAGGGCCCCCCAGCCAACATGGCCAGGTGACTGTCCTACTTAACAGCCCCAGCCTGTGCCCAAAGTTTAGGCCACCTCGGTGCCCAGGCGGTTATTGTCAGCGTCCACATCACTAGCAGAGGTCCTGTGTTCCTTGGAAGGCTGGTGGTGCTGCTCCCTGCTCAATGGGGCCTTCTCCCCAGGGGGCAGAGTCCCACAGCCCTGGACCTTGCCCCTGGCCCGGAGTGCTCCCAGTGGGGAGGCGAGAAGGACGATGAGGGCTACAGAAAGCACTAAGGCAAGGAGAACGGTGACGATGAGAAAGTGAGGCCAGTAGGATCTCTGGGCAGCCATGGCGACACCACCACTGACCCTGGTCAGTGGGACCTCCACACGCTCCCGGGGAATGCCTGCCAGTTCAGGATCCAGGGCCAGGGACTGTTCCTGGCTGTCCACCCAGTAGGAGACCACAGGGTATGAGAAGCCATTCTCAGTGGCCACACACTGGTAGAGGCCCCCAACTCCATCTCGTGGCAACAGCAGGAGCGAGCCATTGTAGATGGCAGAAGAGGCTTCTGGGATTGCTGTTTTGCCATGAGTCCAGCGGTAGGAGGCCAGCGCTGACAAGTGGGGGCAGGGGAGCTCTAGGATGGAGTTGGGGACAGACAGGACTTCTTTAACTGGAAGATAAGGAAAGGAGAAAAACGGTTACTAGAAGGGAGAAGAAGGAAGACAGGAGAGAAAGTCTCTAAACCGTATCTGGACCCCAACTCTCATCTCTAGCTTCTGTTTTAACTCTCAGACTTAATACTACCCCCTTTTCTGTCTCCAACTAACCTCCATCCTTTTAACTCCAACTGTGACACCAAAATCATTTCTACCTTAACCTCTGAATCCCAGTTCAGAATTCCTATAGCTCCTTCCTATAGTCGGGACCCAAATCCATTCTGACTCTGGGGTACAGACTCACACTAGACAGGCACTGGAGTAGGACATAAGAGCAGGAAAGCCCACCCTGCCTGACATCCTCTAGAGTCTCTGTGCCTCCCCAGCCCTATACTTACTGAGTTGAGGGCGGCTCTGAGGCCTGAGGCTCCTACCCATAGGGCCAAGAGCACATGCCCACTCCGGGTTCCCTCGCTCCATGTCCTGCTTCCAGGAGCTCCTTAGAAGGCAAGGAAATCAAAAATCATCCCTTGAAACAGACAAAAATGGGTAGAGAAGGAGGAAGGGAAGGAAGTACGAGGGGAAAAAGGTGGACCAGGGAGACTCGGTAGAAGAAAGGGGCGATGGGCTACCCAGGATGCCCTGAGAAGCTTCAAAACTGCCTAGCAAAACACCATCCCTGGAGGAGTCAACACGGGAGGGATGGACTCTTGGAGTGACTATGTCAGTGGCCCCTGGGAAGAAAAGAGCAGTAGTAGAAACTGGGTCAGAAAGGTCTGGGCTGGCCATCTTCAGCCACCATCCAGGTCTGGCACTCACAGGATGGGGGTGGACAGAAGACGGCACATTTGTGACTCAGGGTCCCAGGCACAGTGGGGGTCCCGGGCAAGGACACAATCCACACAGCTCTCATAGACACTGCAGTTGGCTCGGGGAACCCTCCAGACGCCTCCTGAGAAACCTACAAACACTGCACCCTGGAAGAGAGACAGAGAGCGTCAAGGAGCCCCAGCCACACCTGGGAAAGTCCCAGGCCCTGACCAGGCCCAGGAGATAGCCCACCCCGGCCCCCATGGCCAGACCCACCAAAAGGCCATCTCATCATCAGGTCCCTTCCCACCTGGGTGGGGGCCAGTTGCAGGTTGTGAACAGGTTCAGGGTCAGGGAACAGCTGGATCTCCTCCACCAGATAAGCTCTGCTGTCTTCCCCACTCACCACAGCCTTGTGCAGGAACCCCGTGGCTATGGAGAGACCGAGAACTGAGATCTTCTTCCTTCATCCCCAGACCCATCTCTGCCCTTATATGGTCTCCCCAGCTGTTAGCCACTCTTTCTGAAGCACTTGTGCAAGGGACCCAGAACGTCCAGACTGCTCACTTCCCTCCTTAGTGCAGACAGGAACTTTTTTTTTCTTTCTTTTATTTTATCATTTTTACATTTACTTATATGTGTATACATTGTTTGGCCCACCTCCCCCCACCCCAGACAAAAGCTCTTGTAAATGGCTTAAAGTCCCTGGACCCTCTCCTTCCTCTGCAACTGCCTGACAAAACTCCAAACCTAGGGAAACCCAGCTGTCCAGCTATTAATTTTCTCCATAGATGTGGGGCACAGGGCAGCTGAGTATAGAAAATCACATTGCCAGCCTGCCTTACCTCCTTCAAATGTCTCTGCTCAAAGACACCTCTGGGAGATCTACCCTGACTACCCTTTTTAAAGTTGCAATCTAGGGCTGGTGGAGTGACTTAAGTGGTAGAGCACCTGCCTAGCATGAGGCTCTGAGATCAAACCCCAGCACCATCAAAGAAAAATTATTAACAACATTGCAATCTAGCTAGGCATGGTGGTGCATACCTGGAATCCCAACCTTAGAAGGCAAAGGCAGAAAGATTATAAATTCAAGGCTAGCCTGGGCTACAAAGGAAGACCCTGTCCCTTAAAAAATTTTTTTTGTGGAGTACAGTGGTTCAGGCCTGTAATCTCAGGTACTTGAGATGCAGAGATTGGAAGGATCAAAGTTTGAGGCCAGACTGGGCAAAAAGCTAGCAAGACCTTATCTCAACCAATAGTTGGACATGGTGGCATGTGCCTATAATCCCAGCTACCAGGGAAGCATAAATAGAAGGATCTCTGTCCAGGGAAGCCCAAGAAAGACTTGAGCTCCTATCCCAAAAATAATTAAAGCAAAAAGAATTAAGGGCCTAGCTAAGGTGGAGAGTGCAAGGCTCTGAGTTCAAACCCCAGTACAGCAAAAAAAAACAAAAAAAAAAAACAAAAAAAAATTTTTTAATGGCAACCTCTCCACTGGCATTTTTGATTCTCCCTTACACTGCTTTACTTCATGTTCTAATCTCATAACTGACATACTATCTAATTTACTTATTTGGGATGCCTATTGTCTGTGTGCACCCACTCCACAAGGATGGAGATTTCGTCTGTGTTTTTCCTAATGTGTTCAACACAGGCACACAGTGCCTCTTAGCATGGCCTGGAAGAATGAATGAACCTGGTGGACATCTCCCACTAACGTTCAAGTCAGGCTGGCAGAGTGGCTCCACTGGTAGAGTGTCTGCCTAGCAAGTGTGTAGCCCTGAGTTCAAGGCCCAGTACTGCAAAACAACAAAACAAAAACAATAAAACTCAAGGTCATGCCCTCAGCCAGCCCTCAATATGCTTCGCCATCTTGCTGTATTCTCCCGCTGACTCTCCCCTTTTTCCGCAATGTCTGAATCTACTCCTTCCTCAAACCCACTCCCATTCCCGGTCATGATCTTGTGTCTTCCTACTTCAGAGGGAACACAGAAGACTTCAGCTGGGCTGGTGCAGTGACTCAAGTGGTGGAGTGCCTGCCTAGCATGTATGTGTGAGGCCCTGAGTTCAAACCCCAGTACTGCCAAAAAAAAAGCAAAAACTCCCCAGCTTCCTGTGTGCCCCCCCTCCACACACCTACTCCTTCTTATTCTTTCCATAGCTTCACTCTCAGCCCAGCAGAGGCACTGTGGTGACTCCACCCACAGTGCCTGGGTGCTGGGACACCTGCCTCCTCCACATCCCCTTTTCCTGCCCATCTCTTCACATTGCCCTGTCTAACTGAATCCTTTTAGTCTTTCCTGTCTATGAAAAAAAAAATATGCTGAGCCTCAGCTCCAGTGGCACGTCTGTAGTTCCAGCACTTAGAAGCCTGAGACAGGAGGATGGCAGGCTCGAAGCCAGCCTGGGCTAAGTATTGAAAACCTGTCTCAAAAGCAAAGCAAGGAGCCAGGTACTGGTGGCTCACGCCTGTAATCCTAGCTACTCAGGAAGCAGAGATCAGCCTGGGGAAATAGTTTGTGAGACCCTATCTCAAAAAAAAAAAAATTACAAAAAAGGGCTGGTGGAATGGCTCAAGGTGTAGCCCTTGAATTAAAACCCCAGTATTGACAAAAAAAAAAAAAAAAAAAAAAGCAAAGCAAGACAAATAACAACTGAAAATCACAAAAGAAACCTGACTGGACCCCAAAACCCTCCTCTAGTCATTACCCCTTCCTCTCTGCCCCTTCACAGAAGAGTGACCTCTATATTTCCATTTCCTGCTCCTTGCCACTCACTCACTCCTCACCCCCCTCAACATGGCTTCCCCCAGAACACAAGCAGCTATTGCTAAGACCACCCAAGACTTCCCTATCTGTGTTCCCCACAAAACTGAAGGTCCAAAAAGACTAGAGACTGCCATTCTTCTAGAGCCTCACGGGGTGTCCAGCACCCAAAGGTTTCCTCCTCAGCGGGGTGCAGCCCCAGCTCTAGTCCTCTGAGGGATGTCCTGATGTCCCATACTCACAGGTGCCCAGGTACATGACCAGATGACTTCGTCCATCAAGGCCCTGGGCTGTCTCCACTGCAAGTTGTGTGTACTCTACACCAGACTTTGCCAGCAGAGGTGTCCCCACCACCTGCTCATCCATCAGGAAATGGTCCTTCATGAAGGTCAAGGCTTTATCAGAGGAGGGGCCCACAGAGCACTAAAGGAGGAAGGAGGCAGGTCAGGTTGTCTTCAGCTCATCTTTGCCCCTGTCCTCCCTCCCCTCAGCTGCTCTGTGCCCTCCTCTCTTAGGGCAGTCTTCAGCTTAGGACGGTGGATAAAGCTCAGATTCTGGAATAGCGTGACTTTGAGCCTCAGCCTTGGTGTGCCTGAGCTCCTCAGTACCTACCTCACAGGCTCACATGAGGGCAAAAGGCACTAATGAATTAGTGATTGGCATGGGTGTGGTATGCAGAGGGTACTCACTAAACACTATCGCTGTCCTCTCCCTGAGCCCCTGCATCTGGGTGCCTGGCAGACAGGAGGGAGTGGAGTGAGTGAAGGCTCATTCTAGGCAAGGACCAGGTTTTATTCATATCTGTGGTCCCACGCCGAGCCCAAGACCAGCTCCACTGTCAATTCTCAAGAAATGCTGGCAGAGTCAACGATTGAATGAAGATATCACAGAAAGGGGTGGTGTGGCACGGCGTGTCTCTCAGCATAGTTTTGCATGAACTTGCTACATGATGCTGGGAGTCCGTTCTCCATTCTGAGCCTCCTTTTTCTCACCCATAAATGAGGGGGCTGTACCAGCTGTTCTCTAAAGGCCCTGCCAGTATGAACAGGTTGTAGCTCTGGATAGCTGTCTCCTGCTCTTTGGTCAGGATTCTTGTCTGTCATACCATCTTGGGGCCATCCCCAACTTTGTCACTGTCTTGGGGCCAGCCCCAACTGTCACAACTTGTCTAAGTTGTGTCCTTAGACTAGTTACTTCATCTCTCTGAGCCTCAACTTCCTCATCTGCAAAGTGAGGTAATAGCATCTACAGTATGCCATTTTGGTTCTAACAAGAACACATGCACTTACTTTCACCTCCTCCTAAAGGGACTTTTTTTAAAGGCATAATCCTTCAGGGATGTGGAGAACAGGAAAGAAATGTTCACATTTTGGAAGGTGGAAAGCAAATGAACAAAAGGTAAAAGACTTAGAAGAGAAGGAGAGAAAAAAATCTTCTTGAGCCAACCCTGGGGAAGCCCAAATCATCTGATTCCAAGGCAGAACTGCTCAGGTGCCTGAATTATGTCCTCAGCTACCCATGGAAGTGAGGTTAGAGGGGAGGCTAAGTAAAGAGGAGTATTAAGTAAAGAGTATTTGATTTTTTGTTTTTGGGAGATGGCATCTCACCATGTACTGGAAATTTATTCCTTAGAAAGGGGAAAGCATAAGTATCTCAGTCAAGCATGGTGGTACATGCTTGTAAATCCCAGCAGTCAGGAGACTGAGGTAAGAAGATCTCAAGTTTGAGGACAGCCTTGTTAGCATAGTAATGATAAAAAAAAAAAAAGAGTGAGACCCTATCTCAAAAAATCAACCAGACAACCAAACTACAACAAAACTCCTAGAGGGTTTCTGGATAGATAACAGCAGGCACAGTTGAGAGGGACACCATCCTGAATGAAATTCAGGTGGGCACACTACACGATGAGATTTCCCCATACACAACCATCTTCCCCTGTGATTCCCAGACACCATGGGCCGACCATCTTCCTCCAAGCACAAGCCCAGATGAATCTGGAAAAACCGACTAGATGTCCAAGAGGAAAGACTTGGACACAAAAACACAGCCCAGCCAGACCACCTTAGCAGAGCTACAGTGGAACCAAATTGCCACATCTTGCTCATGGCACAGAGCATCCAAACAGATTTAGTGTGTCTCGCTTTTTTTTTTTTTTTTTGGTAGTACTGGGGTTTGAACTCGGGTTCTCAAGCTTCTGAGGCAGGCACTATACCACTTAAACCACACACTCCCAGTCCAGCCTTGGACTTTTGAGCCTCTTGAACTCTTGATCCTCCTGCCTCAGCCTCCCAAGTGCTAGGATGACAGGCATGTACTAGCAGACCTGACTACACACCCTTAAATATGAGTACATAGCCAAGGACTATGAGATTTGTGCATAAAACCATAAACATAGGCCAGATGCTGGTGGCTTATACCTGTAATCCTAGCTACTCAGGAGGCAGAGATCAGGAGGATTGCAGTTCAAAGCCAGCCCCTGGCAAATAGTTCTTGAATCCTATCTCAAAAAAACTCATCACAAAAAAGGGCTATTGGAGTGGCTCAAGGTATAGACCCTAAGTTCAAACCCTGGCATACCTCCTTCCAAAAAAAATAAAAAACCCAAAAACATGGTTTATAATCCCAGCTACTTGGGAGGTATAGATCAGGAGAATCAAGGTTATAGGCTTGCCCAAGCAAAAAAATTAGTGAAATCCATCTCAACAACCTGGGCTTGGTGGTTTGTGCCTGGAACCCCAAATAAGCAGCAGCAGGCATGAGTAGGCCTCTGTCTGAGGCCGGCCCCAGACAAGGCAAAAAAAAAAAAAAAAAAAAAAGACCCTATCCAGGGACTGAAGGCTTAGCTCAAGTGGTAGAGCACTTGCTTAGCAAGCATGAAGCCCTGAGTTCAAACCCCCGTACCATCAATCAAACAAAACAAACAAACAAAACCTATCTGAAGAATGAGTAAAGCACAAAAGGGCTAGAGATGTAGAGCTCAAGTGACAGAACACTTACCTAGCAAGCTCAAGACCCTGAGTTTAAATCCCAGTATCATGAGAAAAAGAAAAAAAACTTAAAACAAACTAATAGGATAAAAAAACAAAACCTAAGAGGAAACAAAAATGATTCAGAGAAAAAAAATTTCACAGAAATCTATCGTTATTGTAAGAAAGGTAAGTGAAGACAGCACACTCATGAAACAAGAATGGAAGGCTGCAAAAGAGAAGTCCTTACTTCACATAAAGAGGGCAGTCAGACATTACATCATCCACAGAAAGAACAAACGACCACAATGAAGTAATAATCTTGCTCCTCAAAATCAAACCTGGATCAGGCCAAATTTCTACATCCAACTACTAAGCAATTTACAATACTTAAACTACACCACAGAGATATGCTTATTAAGATCCAGACAGTAGAAAACTCCATAAGACTACTTGCAAGCCAGGAGCCAGAGGCTCACACTTATAATCCTAACTACTTGGGAGACAGAGACAGGAGGATTGAGGTCCAAAGCTAGTCCAGGCAAAAAGTGAGACCCTATCTAAAAAATATCCAACACAAAAAAGGACTGGTAGAGTGGCTCAAGTGGTAGGGTGCCTACCTAGCAAGCGTGAGGCCCTGAGTTCAAACCCCAGTACCAAAAACAAACAAAAACTACTTGCAATAAAAAAATAACAAATGCTAGAAAGGAAACATATGTGTGCTAGGTATGGTGTTGTGCACCTATAGTTTCACCTACTCTAAGGCTGAATCAAGAGGATCGCTAGAGCCCAAAGGTTCATAGCCAGCCTGGGCAACACAGCAAGACAGCCGCTTAAAAAAAAAGAAAGTAAGATATAATAAAAAGGAAGCTGGATGTGATGGTTCACACCTGTAATCCTAGCTACTTGAGAAGCAGAGATTTGGGAAGATTGCAGTTCCAGACAAGTCCAGACAAAAATTTCATGAAACCCCCCTCTTGGGTGTGGTGGCACACACCTGTCATCCCAGCTACGTGGGAAGCATAAATATGAAGATGGTAGTCCAGGCTAGGTCAGACATAAGTGTTCAAAAAATAACTAAAGCAAGCCAAGCACTGGTGGCTCATGCCTATAATCCCAGCTACTCAGGAGGCAGAGATCAGGAGGTTCGTGGTTCAAAAAGCAAATAGTTCATGGGATCCTATCTTGAAAAAAAAATCACGAAAAAGGGCTGGTGGAGTGGCTCAAGGTATAGGCCCTGAGTTCAAACCCCAGCACTACAAATAATAATAATAATAATAATAATAATAATAATAATAATGTTTGTTATTTTTAGCAACAAAGATTGTGGTAATTTCTCACAAGTCACCAGCGGAAACTAATACAGATGAAATGATATGATGTCCAGAATGAAGGGGGAATTGGGTGGTTAACAGATGAAGCAAATTTGAGTGACTCTAAGGTGAAGCTGTTTAGTGGGTATATGGAGGTGCAGTATGCGTTCTGTCTACTTTTTATGTTTGAAAATTTCTATAATAGCATATTTTTTAAATAAAAGGGATATTCAGAGCTAAAAAAAACAGCTATATATCTCTATCTACGGAAAATCTTATAGAAGGAAGAGAAGATAAAGTTGAAGAACTCTCTAGAGTCAGGTGCAGTGATGCACATCTGTAATCCCAGCATGTGGGAAGCTGCGGTCAGGTGGGTCACAAGTTTGAGGCTGGCCTGGGTTACATAGTGAGACTCTGTCTCAAAAAAAAAAAAAAAAAGTTGAAACAGCCTCAAGACCAAAAATTTGAAAATAGGAAAGATTTAAAAAGTAGAGGACCAGTCTCCAAAGTCCAGAAATAAGTGAGAAATCACTCTATTAGAATGTAGGCTCCAGCTAGTGGAGTGGCTCAAGCAGTAAGAGCGACTGCCTAGCCCTGAGTTCAAACCACAGTGGCGGAAAAAAAAAAAAAAAAAGAGTTTGAGTTTGAGGCCATAGGCCTCGCACACATGGCACATGTCTATAATCCTAAGTCTTTGGGAGGCAGAGATCAGGAGGATCTTGGTTCAAGGCCAGCCCAGTCAACAAAAGCAAGACCCTATCTCAAAAATACCTAACACAAAAAAGGACTGATGGAGTGGCATAAGTGGTAGAGCACCTAGCTATTAAGTGTGAGGCCCTGAGTTCAAACCCTAGTACCACAAAAAAGAAAGAAAAAGTTTGAGGCCATCCTGGGCTACCTAACAAGACCCTAACTCAAAAAAAAGGTAAGATCCATGAAGGAAGGGCCTTATTCTGTTTTTCTCACTGCTGTGGCCCCAGTACTTAGAACAGCGACACATGTCTTCTATTAATATTTGTTAAATGGAAAGGAAATAGGGAGTTTTATAGCAGTGTTAGGGATCAAACCCAGGGCCTACACATGCTAGGCAAGCACTCTACCACTGAGCTACATCTCAGCCCAAGAACTGACAGAACTAAAGGAACTAAATAACCAGATTGAAGTGGTCCATTGAGTGCCTAGCACAATAAATAGAGTTCCACGGAAACACAATACTGTGGATTATCAGAATACCAGAGGCAAGGAAAAGGCACTGCAAGATTCCAGTGAGAAAAAACAGGTTACATTCAAAGGGTTTGGGGTTTTCCACAGATGCTAGAAGATATTACAGCAGGGCTTTCAGAGTTTGAAAGGAAATTATATTCTACAATTAGATATACCTAGCCAAACCATCAAATGTGAAAGAATAAAGACATTTTTAGACACCCAGTGTCTCAAAATATTTTACCTGCTATGTATCTTTCTCCAGGAATCTATGTAGGATAACCTCCACTAACTTTTTTTTTTTTAAGAAAAAAAAAAGAGGAAATCATGGAATACAAGAAATAAGATATTTTACAGAAGAGTGGTCAAGGGAATCCCCAGTATGATGAGGAAGGGAGATTCCAGGATGGCTTCTATGCCACCAGTCTAGACAGTGATAGGCATGAAGGATCTCCAGGAAGATGAAACTGTTCAAATGGCTAGTGGGTCTGTCTTCAGGAGATACTAAGTTCATTCAGGAGGAGCTTGGGGTTGAATTAAAGATAAGAGCTTAGAAAACAAAGCAAGCAAAAAAAAAAAAAAAGGAGATAATTACTAACCCAAGGGGAAACAAAAATTATGCAAATAAGAAGAGTAATCATGGCTTACTACCTAGCTCAGCTATGAATAATAAGTATCATAACAGAAACACTGTTCCAGCCAACATTTTTGTAGGGTAGGTGGTGCAGCTCAGTGATAGAGTGCTTGCCTGGCAAGCAGTGGCCCTGGACTCAGTTCCTAACACTGCCAAGAAAAAGGCCTACCTCTAACAGTCACATTGAGGTTACGACTTCAGCAAAATTACTCTAAAACTATGCTCAGAGGTTGGAGGTCAGTGGCATGTTTGCTAGCCAGCTCGTTGGGAGGGGAGGATGTAGAAAGGCTGATTTGTAGTGTTTGCTATTTCCCAAGTGCATATGTCCTTCATGGGTGATTTCAAGTTACCAATGTTATATCACTGAGCATGAAAAGAGATGTGCAAAAACAGGTCTTAGCAGTTGTTTCAAGTGAGCTCCTACACACTGGGTGGGGGTGAGGAAGCAGAATTAAATCCTCACCTTCCAGAATGGGAATTAAATAGATACTTTCTGAAATTGAAACATGGAGAAGTAGCTATAGAAACATGGTGTTTAGGGATGGGGGTGTAGCTCAACGGTAGAGTGTTTGCCTAGCTTGTGTGAAGCCTTGGGTTCTATCCTAAACACCTGCAAGCAAAAAAGCACGATATTTAGAGATTTGGAGGAAAACATAGGAAGAACCAGAGAGTGGAAGATGGTTGGGGAAAAGTAGAAACTAGGGAGTTGGCTAGTAGCTGGGTAGTGCACACCTGTAATGCCAGCACTCAAGAGGCTGAGGCAGGAGGATTGCAAGTGAAGTTATATAGTGACAGTCTATATCAAAGAGAAAGAGAAAGAAAAAAATAGGGCTATTTTTGGAACCAATTTTTTTCTTTTTTTTTTTTTTTTTTGTGGGACTGGGGTATGAACTCAGGTCACTGGGCTTGCAAAGTAGGCACTCTACCACTTGAGACACACATCCAGTCCTTTGGAACCAACTTTATAGATCTATCTGATTCTTTAAATCATGTACATATATAACTGATTTTTCCAGTTACATAGGAAATGTGGGCCAGTGCTTGGCACACGGCCCATGTTTTCTCACTGACAGATCCACATATGCGGTGTGCAGTTAGCCTTGGGGAGTGGTGGCCCTGGCAACTGCTCTGGGTATAGGACGGTGATGGATACCTGTGGAATGCAGGCAGCCAGGCCAGGTGTGTCTGAGCAGACAGGCCAGGCGGAGTGTGGAGCACTAATAGTTACTGGGCACTTACCATGTTGTAATAGGTGCTTTTACATGTGGGGGCTTTGCTTAGGGGTGGGGTGTACTCACACTGCCTGGCCGGGGGCTAGTCTCATGGCCCCTGTAAGTAGTCCAGCGTGAAGTTTCTTTGTCCAACTCCTTATACTTTCCCTTGAAGACATGCTCAATGTCCGTGAGGGCGAAGGCACAAACTGCAGAACTCTGGGTCCCATCGACCTGCCTGAAGAAAGCCAGAGGGTACACTGTCTTTGATTTCCTCTGCCATGCCAGTTGATTGCTCCTCCAGCCTTGGATCACCCTCAGTTGGAAACCGCAGAAGGGGAGGAGTGTGGAGGACTGAGCAAACTTCCAGCTGCCTCTTTTTCCCCTCACTGTGCTGTAAGACCTGAGAGGGCCCCATGGACTTTGGCCCATGGCCTGGCTGGAGGCCCATCTTAGGATCTAAAATGTGATTATCCTTAATGAGAATTAATTGGGGCACAAGCCCTGGGGTAGCTCCTGTCTGTCCTGCCTAGGCTGGGCTGTACCTGCAGGATGGGCAGTATAACCGGCTCCAGGCTGGCTCCACATGGATAAAGTTTTTTTAGGGTCCTTAGAGAGCCCACCACATGCCTGACTACCACATTACTTAATCCTTTAGCCCTGGTCTATGGTGAAGTATCGCTCACTCCCTTTCACAAGATTCTCTGTTCTAGATCCCATGGATACCAGACCCTAGTTGCACCAGATAATTTTGTTACCTGACACGTTGACAACAGGTATATAAACGCTGTGGGGCCAGACCAGGCTGTGGTGCCTCAGACAAATCAGTTAACCTTTCTCAGGCTCTAAGCAATGCATTTATTTTTCCTCTAACGATCATGATAGCATTTACCTCTTTGCCCTGGCCATTAGGAAACTGAGAGCTACTTTTGTGGCTGGCATCCAGGCACTGACTACTCAAGCATTTGTAACGTACTGACCAGATCCCTAGTTTCTTGTATTTTCCCTCTATTTCCATTTCCTTATTTATTTTATTGATTTAAATGTTTGCCTTCTGCAAACTTCTTCCCACCCTTTCTGGAACCAGGCAGAATATAAACTAATCAGAACTTCTCTGAGCTTTATTTTTCTCAGATGCATGAAATTCCTGGGAGGTGGTGACAATCAAATGCCTTCCTATCTAAAGTGCAGACTGTGTGCTATGCTCCCGATGGTTCCGGCCTCCCTTCACATTCCCTGCTCACCACTGGGAGGTGAAAACTGCATAGATGCGGGATACGGAGGGAGATTCTGCCTGCAGTAGGACTGCGTGGCGGATGACGTTGAATGGCAGCTGCCCCCGCTGGGCGCAGAGCAGCTGGGCCTTCAAGAAGGTGGTCCACTTCTTCTGCAGCAGCTTTTCACCGCCTACGTCATTCTGGGGGAGCGGGGCGGAATCAGGGGGCGCTGCCCTGGATGGCCCCGCCCCGCATCTCCCCGCTCCCATTGGTCGCCCAGAGCTCAGTCCCGCCTCTACCACCCCTTCCATTGGCTCCCTCACAGCCAACCCCGCCTCCCGCCCAGACAACAAACCTTGCAGACTTGAGCCACCCGGGATGTGTGCAGCTTCTCAAAAAAGTCAAATTCGCTGGCTGTCTCCTCAAAGAAGAAGTAGACGACCTGGGTCGAAGGGATGGCTGCCACGAAGGAGGCGTCCGCTGCGGGGCGGGGCAGATGGGTTTAGGGACTGAATATCTGGATGCTCTGGGTTCCCATTTGTGACAACCTGTGGGTCAGCTCTTGTGGCTGGGAAATAGTCTTCCTTTGATTCCACAGTTTGCCAAGGGGTAGTGATGGGGACGAGGGGGAAGTGTGTGTGTGTGTGTGTGTGTGTGTGTGTGTGTGTGTGTGTGTGTGTCTTGCTCTTCCTTAACTTATTGACGTAAAGTGAAAGCTTCATGAGGACGGGCTTTGTCTTTTTCCCTGCTATATATACAGTGATGCATACAGCATGCCCTCAACAAATGAGTTGAATGAATTAGTAGTAATTTACAGTGCCAGGTCTCCAGGACCGGGGAAAGGGGCCAGACCCGTGCTGGATAGGAGTCAAGTCCTTACGGTGCAGCCAGCGGAGGAAGGTGTCAGTCTTAAGAACAGGCTGGGATCCCAGCGTGCGCATCAGGATGGGCTGGCTGCCCAGAAAGTTGTTCATGGTGCCAGAATACAGCATCCCATCTAGAGAAGGAAAGAGGGGAAAAAAGATCTTAGCAGGTGGAGGCTTCCCTGCCCTCCTCAGACCTGCCTTTGCTGGGGGTCAGTCTCCAGCTCCTTCATTCATTCTGCACTCTTCTGCAGAACCCCAAATCCCAGCTCATGCCCCATCACCCAACACACACAAGATGCCTTTCTTAGGTTTCTTTGTCTATGGGAAATGCTCAGTGTGGCCTTCTATATTTGGCACTTTTCCAGCCTTTTTCACACACCCAACTGAACTACTTGCCAAGTAGAATCACTCATTGATCCCAGAAGATGGACTGTGTTTTCTGCTTCCACACCTTGGGTCCTGCGCTTCTCTTCCTGGAACATCAACCCTGTCCCTCTACCCGCATGTCTTTTAAGTCCTGTTCAAAAACCAAAGGCCACCTCCCCCAGGAAGCCAAGGTAGAAAGTTTTTAATGGTTTGTGTCCAGGCACAGGGCCATGATTCTTCTTTGTAACTCCTTTAGTCCCCAGTCCAGTACCTGGCATACCTGAGGTGTTCATACAGGGCACATTGGTTGGACAAATGAGTGAACCTCAGTTCTCTCCTTGGCCTGATCCCCTTACAGGATCCTCCTGACTCTGTGTCTCTTCACCACTTTCTCCTTTCATCTCCTTTGTGGCAGTTTCAATAGGAGCTGGTGGCTTGAGTGCCTGATTCTCCCTCTGATCTTGTGGCCTGAGGTTCTTGGCCTTCCCCCTCTTTGCCATGCTTTTTAGGAAGCTCTTATCATATTTCACAGAGTGACTAGAGAAGGCACTGGGATGGTCCAGGAAGTCTGATACTCACCCACCAAGACAGCTGTGTGCTTGTGAGCAGGGTCAAAGGGGCTTTGGCCTTTCCCCTCTGTGACCTTGTCCTCCAAAATGGGAAGCAGGTGAGAATCTTGGAGTTCCTGGGGTGGAGGGGTGAAGCTGGGGCCCAGAACGCCAAGGTCTCACGTCTGGGAAATGAGGGGCATGAGGGAGGAAGGGAGCGGGACAGAGAGGAAGTTGGTCTGGGGCCAGGAATGTCAAATGGGTCCTGAGGGACCACAGTTTTCCAGAGCTACAGAAGTACAGAAGATAGGCTGGGTAGGTATAAGAAGGGATGTTTGTGGGTCTGAGAACTGATGTCAGGTAACTCACAATAAAGGTACACGCAGGGCTGAAGGCAAAGGTCCCGCAGGCATAGAGATGAGTGGCATTGAAAGAGACCAGGACACGAATGAAGTTGAAACACTGCGTCTGGGGGAAACAGAGAATTCAGACTTCCAGGCTACTTTCTTCAAACTCCTGGGTCTCCAAAAGCTGTCCCCTCACTTCCTAGTGCAGAAAAGAGCTGGGCAATGCTGGGACTGTCCTGGGCAATTTTGTAGAACACAATCCAGGAAAAGAGCGCAAATGAGTGTCCTCCTCTGCCTGTTATGCTTGAGGGCATCAGTGGTGGTCTAGGGAATTCTCTGCCCAGAAATCCTACACCCTCATCTCTTCTTACCTCATTGCTTTTCTTCTTCAAGGCACATTCACTCTTTTTTCTGTCACTGGCTGGCCAGGAGATCTGAAGAGGAGATTTGGGAGGGGGAAATGAAAGGAAATAGGGTCTTCAGCTTTACCGGGACACAGATACATGACAGAACACGGTCTCAGAAATCAGACCTGAGTTCAAATCCAGACTCTGTCACTAAGCACTTTTTTTTTTTTGGTGGTACTGGGGTTTGAATTCAGGACCTCATTCTTACTAAGCAGATGCTCTATTGTTTGAGCCAATCCTCCAAACCTTTTTTGTGTTGGGCATTTTTAAGATAGGCCTTTGAGAACTATTTGCCTAAGCTGGCTTCAAACCTCAATCCTCCTGACCTCTGCTGCCTGAGTAGCTAGGATTACAGGCATGAGCCACTGGCACCTGGCCTAACTAAACACTCTTGATCAACTTCATAGGTTTCTGGTGGACAACCAGGTGGTGTTTGCCTAACACGAAGCATGGTACATACAGAAGCAGTGGTCAAAACACACATTTCCTAGAGAAATTGTCAAGACATCCTGGGTCATGCTTGGAGGATCTGCTTAGGTTTTTGGGTTTTTTGTGGTTTTTTTGGTTGGACTGGGGTTTGAACTCAGGGTTTCATGCTCAAAAGGAACTCTACTGCTTGAGTCACACTTTTAATCCATTTTGATCTGGTTATTTTAGAGATGGGGGTCTCATGAACTACTTATTCAGGCTGGATTTAAATCTCAATCGTCCTGATCTCAGCCTCCTAAGTAGCTTGAATTATAGGCGTGATCCATCGCCATTTGCCTGAGAATCTGCATTTTTAACTAGCACCCTGTGCATGCAGGCGGCCAATAGACCACATGTGGAGAATAAACCATGGAATCAGTCAGTAATTACTAGCACCTTCCCTCCCTGTCTTCCTTCCTGCAGATGCTTACATTGCTCCCATTAGTAGGGTAGCGATAACACAGAAATATCCGTGGTTGTGATTTTTCACAGTGGGTATTAAGTTATTGATACAATTTGAGTCAATGTTTATCTCATATGTCAATGATTTCCATAACAGCCACTTTAGCAGCTGATATTATTCAACAAGTAGTTATGACACCAGTGAACAACGAGGCCACAATATTTCCTGTCAGTTATGTTGTCAAGATAATATATAGCAGCCAGGTGCTGGTGGCTCATGCCTGTAATCTTCCAATCAGGAGGATCGCAGTTTGAAGCCAGCCCAGGCAAATAGTTCAAGAGACCCTATCTCAAAAAAACTCATCACAAAAAAGGGCTGGTGGAGTGACTCAAGGTGTAAGCCCTGAGTTCAAACCCCAGGACCACAAAAAAAAAAAAAAAAAAGACATATACAGCAAGAATTGCTGATTATTGCTGATTTGGAGAAAGGCAGTTGGTCTATTTTCATGTGTAAGCAGTTCACACCCTCTATCCCTGACTTCCTCACCATGTTCTTCAGCCTTGGGACTCCAGGATCCTGGATATTCAAGGCCAGGATGGCCTCTCGAGCCCCCACGTAGAGAGTATTCCCATCACCACTTAGGAGAAGAGTGTCAAAATCCTGGAGGCCCTTCTGTTGGAAGAAGCTAAGTGCCCTGCGTCCATCTCCTGTTGGAAGGTGACAAGGAGATAGAGTGAGGAGGAATTTTGGGCAGAAGCTGATTCCTGAGACAAAGATGGGAGAGGGGAAAGGCTGGCAGATCATGTTCCACAGACTTTGGCTGCGAGAGCCCCTCTTCTCCCTCAGCAGGCCCTCTGCAACCTGCCTTGCTGGCAGTCATAGGAGCTTTGTGGGTTGAGCCCCCAGTAGAGAGCTGAGGTAGCCAGAGGCAGGACAACAACAGCCTAGAGCTGCTGGAGAAGGGTGCCTGCACTCCAGACAAGAAATGAGGTAAGGCACAATGATGTTCTTTCAACCCTGGAAGCTCTGGTCGGGGAGGACATCTTGGTCCCCACTGGGGGTTGAGGAGAAGAATGGCAAAAAGACAGGAAGGTGTTCGAAGCCACAAGCAAGAAAGGGAATTTACAGATGGGCTGTGTCAGAGTAGTTTGAGTTTTAAGGGTCCTTCTTGCCACCTCCAACACCATTCCCGCTTCCTTCCCTCCCCACAGGAAATTTCCACTATTAGAAACGTGATAAACAGAAAGGAAGCATTTCTCTTCCTTTCTGAGGTCCATGTGGGCATACCTGGATGTCACCTGGGCAGGGGAAGTGAGGCTCCATTATCTACCTCATATGGCAGTGGTGGTAGTGGGGGGAGGGTATATGTGTGTGTGTGTGTGTGTGTGTGTCAGGGGAGGGGGGGTTCCTGCCCCACTGGGACATCTGCAAGGGGGAAGCTTTTCAGATCCTCTCTCATCAGCATATTTACACTTTTGCATTAGTTAGAGGACTAATGGTTACCTTTGAAGGCTCAGGGAATCTTAGGACCAAGAGAAGGAGTTGGGGGGAAATGTGGGAAGGTACTAGAAGGATCAGCGCCCCCACCAGGAGTGCACACACCCCACTCTCCAGTGGGATGGTCTGATGACTCATTCTGCTTCTTCCTTGGGACTATGAATTCTCAAGGGGCTTAGTCTTGTCAGTATTTCTACCCCATGTCCCACACAAAGGAGGCCTCTCTATCAATGGGCAGCTACATCTCCTTTACCAGGTTGCTTCAGAGAGATGCAAAGACACAGCTGTGACCAGGAAACCTGTGCCCCTACATTTTGGCAGGATCCACATCCTGCCAAATGTGGATAGCAGCTCCAGGGCCTCAGTGAGGAGCCACCCAAGCTGTGCTTCAGGGATCCAGGCCACACCCAGTTGGCCACCCCATGTGCTGATACTCCTGGCCTGGTACTGGACATGACCTGGTCCAGCGTGATCTCTGCAGTTGGCTTGGGCCTGGTCTGCAGAAGATCCTTCTAGCATGGGCCTCAACTTTGTGGCACCTGGGGGTGCAAAAGCAGTTAAGAGTTTCAGTTGCCCCCACTTGGTAACAGTAACACTTGAGGGAGAGGAAAATCACCAGATTTGGAGAACTGGAAGGAACAGTGACTCTGAACCCCAGTCCTATCCTCCCTTTCTTCATTCTGGGTCTTAACTGCATTGCCTTCTGGCTTGCATTCCTATTTCTGGCTCTCTCTCTCTCCAATCTTTCTCTCCTTCTCCAAGGCCCTCTGCTGCTCCCTGGCATCTCTTGACATCTCTGTTTCTCCATGTCCATTCTCCCCAGCATCTTCTCCCTCTGTCCCCTCTCTTTTTCCGTCATCCCTCTAGCTCTACATTGCTGTCACCAACACCTCTTGACCATCAGATACTTACCTGCATAGAATTTGACCCTGGGCATAGGCCCCTGCCCTCCATCCCCATTGGTCGGTGGTGACAGCAGCAGCAGGAGCAGTTGAAAGAAGAAAAGGCCCAGGAGATTCCAGGGATCCAGGCCCAGGGCTGAGCGGGCCATGCTCAGCCAGAGGCTGTCAGCAGACTCTGGGGAAACAGGCACCCGGGCACTTTCTGGGTGAGCAGTCCTTTACCACATCCCCCCCTGAGGACCAATTACAGAGCCCCAGGCGGCAGAAGTGTGTGTGGGGAGGGTAATGGGGAGGGGCACTTCCCTATCTGGAAGGGCCCTCAGAGTCTCACTTCCATCACACTCATATACTTGCCTGTTTGCCTCACTTTCCCCTCTACCTCTGGGCAGAGGCCCTGGTGCTCCTGTGCTGCCTCTTCTGGTCTCTTCTCACCAATAGCCCTGTTCTGCCGTTTCTCATCTTCTCTCACCTTCCTGTCAGGGAAGTCCTTTGTGCCTTTCCTCCATAGCCTTCCCATAGCCCAGTGTCCCAACTTACCATTGCCTGGCCCTGGGAGAGTGCCTGGGGAGCAGGTTCCTGTACTCAAAATGTAAATTCCTCAGACTTCCCATCACTTTCAGGTCTGCTAACACTTTGCACCTCCCACTCACCCCTAACCCAGGCTGGCAGCCCAAGTCTGAGCCAACCTTCTCTAAACCTCTTCCTCAGCCTCAGGGGCTCAGGGGCTTTGATGATCCCTTGTATCTACCTGGCCCTCTTCTTCCAGGGAGGTGATGTAAGTCTAACCCACCAGTGTGGCTATCCACATTTCCCCGGAGTGGCCTCAGAGTCAAGCCTCAGAGACTAGGGGGGCTGGCTGTCTCTCAGCATCTGCAACTCCCCCCCATCTCTCTGCTCCTACTTTCTGCCTCCCCAGGGCTCTGCATCATCTTCCCCAAGACCACAAATGTCAAGCCACCCATCTCACCGCACATACCCCTGGACCAGCCACAGTAGAAAACCTGAGTGATCAGATTCTGGGGCAGGGGTGCCATCCAAGAGAAAGAAGAAGGGGGTTCCCGGGTCCCAGAGGCAGGGGACAGAAGGCTCAGCCTGGCTGGAATGGGAGCACGGCCCTCCAGGCGCCCATTGTGTCAAAGCCAGTACCAGCTCTGGCCCAGGGAAACCAGAATTTCCACCTCGAGTTGTGACAGATCCTGGCTTGGGCGGAAGTTGATGGATCAGGACGGGGGTGGAGGGGTTGGGGGGGAGTTGGCCTGCCTCTCAGGAGACACACCTCTCTCCCTCTCTCCTCTTCCCTCAGTCTATCCAGAAAGTTCAAAAGGTCTTTCTAGGTCATTCAGTGATCCCCCCATCTCTCAATCACATCACATCCAGTTCAACCAGCCTAGCTGTGGTTTCTTTTCTTGCTCAAGATTTCCCAAATACAGGACATGACATCGTCTTTCATATTCCTCTTTTCGCTTGACCTACATGGTAGGGGTCTCACCGCTCCTACCTACTGGGAAGTCCCCAAAGTAGTCTAACCTTCAAACCTCCCCCTTTCAGCTGGGCCACAATATTTAAAAGGTTAAAAAAAATTGTATTAGGCTTTTATCCATGACTTTGCTGAGAAATCCCTCTGTAGTCTGATTCCCATCATTCTTAGGGTGGTACCAGGCCTGTGGGAAGTCCAAGAAATATCCCATCTGAGCTCATGCTTATGGAGCACACTTCTGAGGCACCCAGCCCCCAATGGTGGCTGTTTGTTCCTCCCCAAAGGCTTCAGGGGAGACCTCAGAACGCAGGGTTAATGAGGCTCCGAGGACTCCATGGCCTATAAAGTGTCTGCCCACTCACCTAGGTCAGCTGACTGTAGGATAAAGAGCACTGATGTCTCAGGGATAATCGACTCCAATAAGTAACCCACCTCCATCTTAAATGTACATTCACATAGCCAGGAAGTCCTTCCTGTAGTGTAAATTCCATCTACCACCAGCCACCCAGGGTGATAGTACAGCCCAGCTAACTCCTTACAAGAATTCTTTTCTCTCCTCTTCTTCTGCTCCCATTATCTCTCAGTTCTCCCTAGGGGCTGGGTTCACATAGACCCCCTCCTGACAACTGTTTCTGTCGAAATATGCATAAGACCACAGCAAATTTGGAGATTGGTTGCCAGGTCCCTGCCAAGCTCTCAGAATCAAGCGAAACGTCCATTTTCCTGATCCCACCTTCTGTGTCTCTTCAACATGCAGCTCAGGCTAGGAAAGCCACCACTCCAGGGCCTCTCTACTGGAATAGAAAGGCTTATCTGGGTCACTGGGAGGAGTTCTGATGGGGAAGCCAGAGGGGCATTTCCAGTGCCACCCTTCCTGCCTGATGCCCTATTCCTGTCCCTTTGGAAGCCAGAGGCTCCATGCCCTTCCCAATTCCTTCTCTCACCATCCAGAGTGCTCCCAGCCCCAGACCTCCTCTCCCCTTCTCTCCCCAGCCCCTTTGGCCAATATGACTAGTTGGCACTATCAGGTTTCAATCCTCTCAACCATTTTAGCAATAATCCCATTTCACAGAGAAGGAAAGTGAGGCTCAGGGAGGTTTCACAGTTAGCAGCCAGGTCAAATGCAGATCTGCATCTTTCAGAAGATGACCATTAACTACAAGATCTCTCCAGAGCCTGACTTTCAATCCAACCCCTTCCCCAGTGTCAGAAGCATAGTTTGGAGAGCCTCAGTTAGGTGGAGAGACCTTCAGTTGGGTGGAGAGGGTGAGTGGAAGGTGGGAGGATAGCAAGTTCTGTTTGTCTCCTCTAGGCTAAGAAACAATCACTCTGGGGTTGGGGGGACTTCCTGAGTCAGAGGCAACAGAACCCTCCCTGAAGAGAGGGCAAAGGTACCACCCCCTGCTTCCTCAAGAGCCTCTGTTTCTGGGTCAAGTTCAGCAAAGATCCAGGTAGGCAGAAGGCCACCCTGTCCCCAGCAGTGTGCCCCTCACACCTGAACCTCTGGCGTCAGATCCAAAATCTCACAACTTGCATCTGACAAGCCCACAGCCAGAGCTGGCTTCACAGGTGCGTGACCCGTGCCGTCACTCAGGGCTGTTTTCAGAAGGGTCCACAGTTGGTATAATATTCTTTCCTCTTGGAAGTCTTCACACCGTTTAAACCAGGGACCCACGTTTTCATTTTACACGGCGCCCCACAAATTATGTAGCAAGTCCTGCCCACAGCATCAAGAAAGCTTAGAGCTGGCAGCCCCACGCCCTCCCTTACTGCACAAATGAGGAAACCAAGGCTAGGGAGGGGAAGAACCTGGGCTGGAGTTGGCATCAGGCAGCAGGTGGGGTGGCCCTGGGGTCAGATGTTCAGGGACCAGGCTATAGGGACAGTGCCAGGTTCAAAGCCCCATTCTGGGCTTCTCCCAGCCCATTTCTTCACAAGCCTGGAACACAGCCTGTGGCCCCTCAGGAAAACAACACTGAGCTTAACCTCTCCCCAGCAGGGTCTGACTCCCCACTTCCCCCTGCCATCCCCAGACCATACAGAACCATAGACCCCCTTCTGTCTGGCTTTATCACCCAGAGTAGAGACTAGATGTGGGGGTGGAGGTGGGAGGGAGGATGGAACCATTGCTCCCACCTCACCCCATGCTACCTCAGAGTCCCGACCAACCCCAGGGTTTCTGTCTCTTCAGAGCCCCTGCATGGATGCCTCACTGAGGGATGGGCTCCTGGGGCCAGGACAGAAGCCTCACCAATGACCCAGAAGGTCCAGTTTCCTTGACTCCTCCCCCTCCTGGCCTCAGAAGAGCAGAGTCCTGAGGAACATCTGCTGCCTGCTCTCCTTCCTTAGCCCCACAGCCCTGCCCCTCATCTACCCTCTTTTTATGATCACAAGCATGGCAAATCAACTTATATGGGTTGAGTGCCTATGTGTGTAGGCACTAGGGACATCCCCAAGCCTCTATGTCCCCGGCACCTCTCCACCTCTTTCCATCTTGCTTACTCCAGCCTTCTTGCTATCCACCCAGCCCAATCCCTCCTAACCCCTTACCCAGTGGCTCCTAGGATCCCTCTTCCAGTCTGGCTAGAGCTGGAAGCTGTGCTGAGTATTGCACACAATGGCCTGACCCCTCTGTCTGCCCCTTCTTCAGGGCAAAGCCAGCACCAAACAATGGTCCGCCCCCTCCTTTCAGAACTGTCTGTTAGCTCTCATCTCCCTTACCTGGAACGTGGGGAATGCCACAGCGTTTCCCTCCCCCTGGAATGCCAGGCAGCTTTCTGGTCTCCCGGTGCCTCGTCCCTGCCACACCCCCACCCCCATCCCCAACCCCATCCCGCCTCACTGGTCCTTAGTCACCATGGCAACCGCATCTCTAAGTGGGAGGGACTAGAATCTCCCCATATTCTTCCTCCTCCTCTTGTGTCCCACTGTGCCCCACCTTCTGTAGCTCCTGGATCCACACATGTGGAGGAAGAGGGGCTCCAGATGTGGGAGGAGGTGAGGAAGGGGCAGTCCAGCCCCTGGGTCCCTGCTCAGCTCCCTTGACCACCTTCAAGCAGGCATCACTGGGTAGATGTTCCCCAGCTGGGTGATGTTCCCCTCTATGGCTAGTTTCTGGGTCTCCTTCTTCCCCAGGGAACTGGGTAAAAGTAGGGGAGACACACCTGGATGCTACCCTGGCCCCATGCAAATGGAGTTTGCCAATACGGATGCAAATGAACAACATAAATATATATGCAAATAAACCAAGGGAGAGGGTCACTGTCTTCTATTAATAGTCTCCTGACTTCTGAGGGAGGGGGCTACTCTCAGGTTCCAGGTTTGCCTTCTCTTTCTAAGCCACCATATAAAGAAAGTGGCTCTCAGAAAAAGCTTTGCAGCCTAACCCCCCCCCCCCCGGGACCTATTAGGAGGGAAAGGTTTGTGCTGTAAGAGGAGGTCTAGAGGACAGACTTCAGAAGGGACTTTCCAGAGGTCTAGACTCAATAGGTATAGAAAAAGAGAAAAGATTGAGCTGGATTTTTTTTTCTCATCTGTGAAGCAGCAGAGCAGAGGCAAACAAAGATTTGGGTAGAGGCTTTGGAAGCTGAGTTTTGTGTCCTCTCTCAATCCTGATCCTAAGCCACCCTGTCACCAGAACTCCCTTCTGTCTCTGCAGGGCCTCAACTTCTTCACTGGTAAAATGAGGAGTTGAAAAAGCCCCTTCCAGGCTGTTCCCTTGGTGGACAGGAGGACTCTGAAAAGGGCACCATGGGGCTGAGGAGCAGGAGCCCTGGATCCCACGCCTACCTGCCTATAAATTGCTGTGTGATCCCAGGCAGGGCTCTTGCCCTCTCTGACTCACATAAGTAAAAAACAGTTTTCCAGCCCACCTAGGAGCAGTTCAGCTCCTCTGCAAACTTATAGTATTTTTAGGAAGAAGGAAGTGAGCATGCTGGAGTCAGCCTCGGACAGAAGGTTTCACAGACCAATTCTGGTTCCCTTTTGGGTCTAGGTTGGGGTGGTGGGTGAGGATTTCTTTCTGGGGTGGGGCAAGAAGGGCATGCCATGTACTGAAAGCGGAAGCAGACTCAGCAGAGCGGCTATCAGCCCCTCTCTACTTCCTGACACTCCATCCTGGGGTCTCAGACAGTTCCTGCCTGCTTGTTCCGGCTCCTCTCTCTAGGACAGGGAAGAACTTATTTGGGATGGAGATGACAGGACTAGAGGAAACTGAAGCAGTACTGAAACAGCAGGAGGAAGGCTGACCCACAGAAAGACCTCGCACCCCTGCTGGAGGTTCTTGGGTCCTTGCCCCAGTTTCTTCACTTTGAGGGGAGTTGGGTCTGTCTCCGTTGCACAGTTGGAAGGGGCTATATTTCTGAAATGATCTAAGGGCATGGGGGAGTCTCCATGTCTCTCCGGGCTCAGGAGGCCTCTCCTGGCCTTGGCATATGGAAGTCTAAGCTAAGTGGTCCTGGTGAGAGAGCAGGGATTTAACCCTGGGTGGTGGCCATGGCTGCAGTGGGAAAACTTGCTCGGGTGGCCTGAACACCCAGGTTTCCTGTTCCCAGTTCTCCGGTGTGGAGAGGGAGAGAGACTTTCCCAACCTAATCTCCATTGCTCCTGCTGCAGCATGCACAATTTCATTTCCTCTGGCTCACCTAGTCTCAGTTTCTCCACTTGTGAGAAGATGGGGTGACAGGCTCATGTCTTGTCTTTGATTGTGGAGGGGGCTGGGAGTAACTGATGGAGTTTAGTAAATGAGGGTCGCGGTGAAAATGAGATGGGGAAGGGAGACGAGGAGACCTAGGCCTCCTGCTCCTTAGGATTTGCCCCTCCAGAGCCCTAAAGAGTCAGAGGACCACTCCCCACCATTCTCCATTGAAGTTGGCACACAGACTCCCTATGTCCACAGTCCAGGAGTCAGGCATCCCACCCCCCTCCCACCCAAAGGCCACCATCCCCTTCCCCACCGCTTCGAGCCTTACCCCCAGCCCAGCAGTGGAGACCCTAACCCAGGCGTCCAAGACTTCCAGCAGAGTCTGTCCCAGGCGGGGGGTGGAGCAGGGGCGGACATGGGAGGGGAGGGGGTGCCTGCCAGCCCCCTCCAGTGCCCCAGTTCCCAGGCAGCTCTTAAAGAGACCAAGAAGAATTAGCTAGGGGCAGCTTAAGGAGTGAGTGTACAGAAAAGGAGGTGGTGGGGGAGAGGATTGGATTTGCCAGGGACTGGGAGCAGCATGGGGGCCTGACACCTCCCTGCCCACCCTGGAAGCCCCCAGACTCTTCTGCCTAAGAGACTATGCCTCACCCCATGAGGCTACCACGCCAGCCACCAGCTTTGACCACCCAGATCTAACTGCCACCTCTCACATCCTTGGGTCCCTGCCCACTTCCTTCCCCTCCCCCATATTCGTGCCACCTCAGTCTCCGGTGAGGGCTGCCAGCTGGCACTGACTGGTACCAGGCATGGAGAATCAGCCCAAGAAGTGGAAGGGCCCCAGGAGAAGGGAGCCAGCCCTTTAGAGTCAATGTGGGAAGGTGGGGAGCAGGAGACACCTTCCCTCCCAGTGGCCTACCCAAGTCTTGTGTCCTCTGCCCTCTGAAAGTAGAATCAGGGGGCAATGAGGATCTGGAGAGTTTGAGAGATGGAGAACCCTTGCTCACCCCGACTCTCCCCTACTTCTTATGGGTTGTGACATGGAAAAGACAAATTACTTGGACATTTACTAGCCATGGAGGGGTGCAAGGCAGCTGAAACACACTGAGGAGAGGGACAAAGACATGGAAATGGGGACGGGAGGTGTGGTTCAAGTGGTGAATGCCTGCTTAGCAAACACAAGACACTGAGTTCAAATCCTACTACCACCAAAAAAACAAACAAACAAAAAGGAGTGGAAATGGGACCGGGCATGGTGGTATGTCTGTAATCCTAGCTACTGCTATTCCTACTCCAGAGGCACAGATTAGAGGACCTTGGTGGGAGGCTACCCAGGGCAAAAGAGTGAGACTCCATCTAAAATAATAATAATGATAATAAAACTAAAGCATAAAGGTCAGGAGGCATGTCTCAAATGGCCTAGCAAGTGCAAGGCCCTGAGTTCAAACCCCAGTACCGCCAAAAAAAAAAAAAAAGTGGAAAAAGAAGGATGGCAGGCAGAGATAGCAAAAAATTTCAGTTCTCATCTCACTCCTCTGCTCAAGCAACTAATTCCCATGGAATTCATTTCAAAATTCCTGGCAGGTATTGGAGGCTCTATACCCCCATGAGTGTGGGAAGGCTCTACCCAGGCCCACCCAGACACGGCCTTTCTCCAAGTTCCTGTTCAGTTTGCCTCCCACCTTGAATTGTATTTCTTCCCATATCTACGTGATGGACTTCTTCCTGTCCTTCTACACCCACACCAAGAGAGCCCCTTCCTCCACAAAGCCCTCTGTGGTTGCCCTACAGGACTCTCAGTTGCTACAATATTTTCTGGAGTCAGGGTCCCTGAGTGACTTGGGTAAAATCTCCCCTCACTGTGTCCTGGTTGCCTCACTTAAAATGAGAACAGTAGCAACCTGCCCACTAGCGGAGACCCTGCAAACTGGCTCCATCCTTTCGGAAATAATTTGGTAACTGCAAAAGTGCTCTGGAGCGGGTCCCTAGGTGGTGGGGATTTTATGCCTGACTTTGTATAGCACTCTGAGGACTTTGGCTTTTACTTCGAACAGAACAGTAACCAAACTCTTAATGAGTGACTGTGCTATCCTGTGGAGAATGAAATGCAAGGGCAAGGGCAGGAGGCCAGGTGGGAGCTAATGCCATGATCCAGGTGGGAGATGGAGGGGGTGGGGCAGTGGTGAGATGGACTGATTTAAATAAATCTTTGGAGGTGGCAGTGTGGCTCAAGTAGTGGAGCACCTGCCTAGCAAGTATGAGGCCCTGAGTTCAAACCCCAGTACCACCAAAAAGGTAAATAAATAAATGAGCTTGTAAATAAATCTTTGGAGCTGGGTATGGTGGTGCAGGCCTGTAGTCCCAGCTACTCCGGCTGCTGAGGTGAGCCCAGGATTTGAGGCCAGACTATGCAACACAGACAGGCCAAGTCTAACAGAAAAGAGAAAGAAAGGGGGAAAAAAACCCCAGGTAGAATACCTACTTAGGACATGAGACCCTGGGTTCAATTTATTAAAAGTTTTTTTTAATTTTTTTTTTCTAGTAATGGGGTTTGAACTAAAGGGCCTTGTGCTTGCTATTCAGATGCTCTACCATGTGCCTAGTCCTTTTTGTTTTACTTATTTTTTGAATAAGTTCTCACATTTATACCTAGGTCAGCCTGGATCTCGATCCGCCTATTTACACCTCCCATGGAGCTGGGAATGACAGGCGTGTGCCACTGAGACCAGCTTTTTATTGGTGGAGATGGGGGTGGTCCTTGTAAATTTTTGCTCAAGATGGCCTCAAACCAAGATCCTTCTGCCTCAGCCTCTGGAGATTACTGGAATTATAGGCATAAGCCACAATGACCAGCCTTTAAATAAATAAAAAAGTAAATAAATAAATAAATATTTATTGCAGTGTCAAGGATTGAACTCAAGGCCTACACCTTGAGCCACTCCACCAGTCCTTTTTTTGTGTTGGGTTTTTTGAGATAGTGTCTCACCAACTATTTGCCCAGGCTGGCTTTGAACCTCGATCCTCCTGAGCTCTGCCTCCTGAGTAGCTAGGATAACAGGCATGAGCCACTTGCACCTGGCAGATCTTTAAATAAATTTAAATAAAATTTAAATCCAGACATGATTTCCTAATGGATTGGATGTGAGCTGTGAGCAGGCCAGCAAGGACGACTCCAGGATTCTGGGCCTGAGATGGGGAAGATCATAAGCAGAGCAGATGGGAGTGGGGATCTGGATATCAGTTTGGGACATGTTAACTTTGAGATGCTATTGACCTCCAAGTGAGGAGTCCAGTGAGGAGATCAGGGCAAAGGACCCAAGGCTCAGGTATAAACTTGAGTCACAAAGTATTGAGTGGTTAAAGCCAGAGGCCTGGAGGAAGCCTCTTAGGGTCTGAGTATGGATAGAGAACTCAGCCCTGGGGTGCTCTTGGCACAGTGGCCAGAGAGAGGAAGGATCAGCAATGTTGGCTGAGAAGGATGAGTCACCTATGAGTAACAAGGTCAGGTAAGTTGAGGACTGAAAAGTACTCACTGGGTTAGTTCTGTGCATGGCATTGGGACCTTGGCAAGAGCGGTCTCCGGGGAAAGTAGAAAGCAGGTCAGCAGTTGGGTGTGAGAAGGGAAAGTCTGAAGAGAGAAGGGAAGGTGAGAAGTAGTCCTCTGGGGTTGGAGATGGCCATAATAAGAACAGTAGTTCCAAAGGTGTATGATCACAAAGTGAAAGACAGTCATCAAGGGAGGAGGCAGAATTCCATTCCAAGAAATGGGGATGGAACTCAGGGTTTGAACTCAGCTGCTCTACCACTTGAGCCACACTTCCAGTCCAGTTTGTTCTGGTTATTTTGGAGATGGGGGAATCTCTCAAACTATTTGTCCAGGCTGGCCTCGAACTGCAATCCTCCAGATCTTAGTCTCTCAAATAACTAGGATTATAGGTGTGAGCCACCAGCACCCAGCCTGAAATATTTTTTGAAGGCAAAAAAGCCTGAGAAATAATCTGAATGCTCGGAGGGGACTGGTTAACAAATTGTACATACATTCAGCCATTAAAAAGTATATTGGGGGGCTGGGTGTGGTGTTATCTACCTGTAATTCCAGCTACTCAGGAGGCAGAGATAGGAGGATTGAGATTTGAGGGAAGATGGGGCAAGAGTTAGTAAGACTCCATGTCAAAAGCAAACTAAAGCTAAAAAGGCTGGGGGAGTGACTCAAGTGGTAGAGCGCCTGAGTTCAAACCCCAGTACTTAGGAAAAAAAAAAAAAAAAATATATATATATATATATATATATATATAGGCACTGTGACCTTCAGTCCCGGGTACACTGGGGTCTGAGGCAGAAGCATGACTTGTGCCCAGTAGTTCCAGACCAGCCTGGGCATACAGTAAGACACCATTCAAAAAAAAAAAAGTAAGTTGGGGAGAAGGGACTGAGAGATGCTGGCCAAAGGGCACAGAGTTTCAGTTAGACAGGATGAAAAAGTTTTGAAGTTCTACCCTACAGTTTGCATGGTGCATAATTAATAATAATGTATACTGGAAAGTTGCAAAGAAAGCTCTTAAATTTTCCTTCCATAAAAAAAAAAGTGAGGTGATGAATATGCTAATTAGCTTGATTTACAGTGTATACACATATCAAAACATCACATTGTACTCCATAAATATATATAATATTATTTGTTAATTATACTTTAATAATGAAGGGAGTATGTTTATATAATAAATAGCCTTTGTAAAATATTTGCAAAACATATGTTATAATATGTATGTATTTATATGTATACGCATATATATGCATATAAAGTCGAGAAGTAGCTCAAAACACCAAAAAAAAATCAAGATGAAAAAGATAATCTCCCGCCCACAAAAAAAGCAGGCAAAAGAACACGAACGTTTTTCACATCGGTAGAAATATACATGAACGAAAAGATATTTTCAAAATTCTCTTCAAAGAAATGCAATTTAGAGCAATAATGAGCTATAATCGTGTTTCTACCAAATTGGCAAAGATTAAAACTGACAAAAATTCTGGCATTGGAAGGCGTTTGGGGTAAAGTGTGCCCCCTGCTGGCGAGAATGATAAGTGTCCATCCTCTGCAGATCACCGGCAACGTCGTCAATACATACATATATATGTAGGTATGCATGTATATGTGTGTGTGTGTATGTGCGTGTGTATATATATGTGAAAATTGAAAAAATATACAAATAAAATTCTGGGGGGGGCGCCGTGGGCTTACTCCTGTAATCCTAGCGACTTCAGAGGCTGAGATCAGGATGCTAAAAGTTTGAAGCCAGTTCAGGCAAATAGTTCGTGAGAACCCAGGGCTCAAGTGCTAGAGTGCCTGCTTTTTGAGCTTGAAGCCCTGAGTTCAAACCCTAATACCAGGGCTGGTGGAGTGGCTCAAGTGGTAGAGCACCTGTGTAGCAAGCATGAGGCCCTGAGTTTAATACCAAGTACCACCAAAAAAAAAAAGTACCATAAAAAAAAAAAGGCCAAGGGGCTAAGGCATAGTGGCTTGTACATATAACCCCAGCTACTAGGAAGGCAGAGATGGGGAGAATCAAGGTTTGAGGCCAGCCCAGGGAAAAAGTGAGACACCATCTTAACTTACAAACCCAGCATGGTGGTGTATGACATCTGTAATCTACTGGGGGGAGCATAGGTAGGAGGATCTTGGTTCAGGCCAGACCCTCAAAAACTTGAGATCTTATCGAAAAATAACTAAATAACTAAAAGCAGAAAAGGGCTGGGTATGGCTCAAGTGATAGAGCATCTACCTAGCAAGCTTGAGGTAGTGAGTTCAAACCTCTGCACTGCAAAAAGAATGTTATTTTAAAATAATATTTATAAATTTTGAGGGCCTAGCTCAAGCGGTAGTGTGCCTGCCTAGAAGGCACAACACCCTGAGTTCAAACCCCAGTAACGCTGAAAAAAACCACATGTAAACTTAGAAATAACAATGGAAGATGTTTATACATGTTCACTGAGAAAAGCAGAATCAAAATGTAAACCACAATGAAGCCAGGCATGATGGCACATGCCTGTAATGCCAGCACTCAGGATAGTAAGTTGGAGGCCAGCCTGGTCAGCAAGACCCTGACAATAAAAAATAAAAAGGAAGAAATCAGTGAGATCTTAACAAAGTACAGTATAAGCTCTGTAAGGAAATCCATCAGTGGTTGGCTCTGGGTGATTAACCTACAGAGTATGTATTGCGCCAGGCCTGGATGCTGAGCTGCGTGGTGAGCGAGCACCAGGTGAGGGAGCCACGTGTGCGCACGCACATTGCACACTGCACCACCGGCGCGTTTGCGGCAGCGATTGCGCACTTGCCTTAAAGAGCAGGGACTGTGCTTGGCGTCCAGGTGTCCCCAGCGCACAGCACCCGCGCAGGCTCTGAGCCAGACTCAGCCGTGCTGCGGTGGAACCCTGCCCAGGTGCGCGGACGCCTCTCGGGTCGTGGTGGGGCTCTGGCGCCCCAAGTGCCGGGTTCAGGAAGTGCACGTGTATGTCCTAGCTACTGCCCAAGGCCGGTGTCTGCTGAGGCCTTGGTCTAGGGCTGAAAGAGAATGGTTTCCTTTCTTTGAAGCTGCCTAGCCAAGACAGGGATCCCTTCATCGAGCGCTCCAGCCCTTCCTCTTAGTATCCTTTCCTGAGACCGCATGGAGGGTCTCAGCCTAGGGGATTTCCAACATGACTAGCATGATATCTGTCCTTTCATTAATTTTTTTAGGTTTTTTTTTTTTTTGGTACTAGGGTTTGAACTCAGGGCCTCATGTTTGCTAGGCACGAGCTCTACCACTTGAGCCATTTCAGCCCTCTTTTCATTAATTTTTTAAAGTTATTTTTCAGGTGGTCTCACATTTTGCCCTGGGTGTGTGTGTGTGTGTGTGGCCTGGCTGTGATCCTCCTTATACCTCCCACATAACTTGGATGACAGGTTTGTGCCACCACACCCAGCTTTTATTGGCTGAGAAAGGGTCTCCATAATTTTTTGCCTGGCCTGAACCATGATCCTACCAATCTCCACCCCCCAAGTAGCTGGGATTACAACTGTGGACTACCACACCCAGCACCGTCCACATTTTTTGTTCAGAAGGGAGCATAATGTCACAAGAGCAGGGGTCTGCAGCCAGACCTTGGGGATCTCTGCCACCTGCTGTGTAGCTTTGGGCACATTCACTCTGAACCTCCACTTCCAGGGCCAAAATGGACAATAACCATCTTTCACGATGGTTTAAGGTTCAGATGAAATGGTGCAGAAATGCTCTGGGAACCAGAAGGCAGGAGAAAGATGGATTACCACAGCTCACTTTCCCTGTTCTAGGCCCTTCCCTTCTGTCAGCTCATGCTCACAGGTCATAAGCCATCTTCCCCAGAGACTCCTGCTTTGCCTGACATATCTCTTTGTCCCCAGCAGTGAGTCTCTGACTCTGCTGGAGTGAAAGTTCCCTGAAGACACTGAATGTGTGGCCTTGCTCATTTCCCTGTCCCCCAAGCTGAGCACAAGGTGATGCAAAGGGACATTAGCTATTCCTTTGCAAGGTAAGCTCTACTCCTTTCCTTCTGCCCTATCTCCCAGCTTCCTTGGGTCCTGAGATGTCACCCTCAGACTGGGTCCATATCATGTGTCTTTATTCATGCTCAGCTGATGGTCCCACTTAGAAGGTGCTGATCAGTGCCAGATGAATGAAGAAGGTTGGAAAGGAAATGCCCTCCTTGGTTCTACCTCTCTGAAGGGTATTGGGAGGCAGAGCCCCAGCGGATGGTTGATACATAGGCCAGTCCTCTCTGTCAGGCCCCACAGAGTGCCAGACACACATCTGAGGTGTTCTGTGGGCTTCATCACTTGCTGTGCCCCCAGAGGAGTGAGCCTGGGCAGCAATGAGTGAGGATGCAGCCACCATGCGGCACTCTGTGTATACGTGTCTGTCCCTCAGAACACATCACCAACAAACAGACACCACAGCAGCCAGGGATAGAAACAACTAGTGTATTGATTTGGGGAGGAGAAAAGGGGTGCAGATGGGAAATGGAGAGGCCAGGGGCTCCTTAGTGTTTGCCAGTAACTACTGCCACATCCCCTTGATCTCTCTTACCTTCCTCCTCTGTGGTAGGGCCTCAGCAGCCTCTCACCCTTTCCAGTAGCTTCCCTCTCTCTCTTCCCAGCACCCCCCTTGACTTTGACCTCCAGTAACTGGACTGAGCCCACCCAAGCTCTAAAGCTAGGAGAAGACAGGCTTACTTCCTTCCCCTTTCTTCCACCCCCTCCCCCATTGCATTCCCATCTCTTGTCTAAACGCAATACAGAAAAAGCAAGCACAGCTGGTACCTGGGGGAATCAACTCACCCCAGGGCAGGGGCAGAGGTGGGGACTGGGAATAGGGCAGGGTGAGGAGCCTCACCCAGGTGTAGTGGAACCAGGCCGAGGCCTGGCTCAGCTGTCCTCTCATTCTGAGACTGATCTGGCAGTTGACCAGCTATCTGGAGGAGGCTGGTGGAGAGGACTCCATGCCTGCCTCTTAGGCACCATGTCACAGGGTCCCTGGGGTGGGGGCAACAGCCAGGGTAGCAAAGCAGAAACTAGGCTTGGTAAAAGCACCCCCTTCCCTTGGCTTCAATAGGAAGCCCTTTTTGGTTTTAAGGCAGATACAGAGTTTCCTGGAAGCAGGGAAAGGAAGAGGGAGAAATTAGGGTTGAGATAGAGGCTTTTTTTTTTTTTTTTTTTTTTTGCTTGTGTTTTTCCTTCAATATAAAACCACTGTAGAAAATAACTTCTCTTAGAAAAAAAAATATAGAAGAAAAAACCGAAGGGGATGTTTTTCTTTGGCTTCAAGCCTGCTCCCATGAGGTGTAGGGCAGGGGGTCAGCATCAGGTGAGGAGGAAGCAGATGGCCTCCACCTTGACCCCTGCCTGGCAGGTCCCAGATTACATGATGCTGCAGTTCTGGGGGCTCTAAGAGAGAAAAGAGAGGCAAGGTGTGAGCAGCAGTGGCTGGGCCTATCCTCATCCTCCCTTGACCCCACAAGGGAGGTGGTATCTCCCCATTTCTCACACTCTAGCCCTGTCCTGACCTCAAGTCTGGGGCTCAGACAGGAGGGGCAGGATACAGGAATGGACTGTCTAAACTAAGGCTGCAGGGAGGGGGCTCCCACTCCCCCGGGGTGCGGAAGAGAAGGCTCTCCCCCCAGAGGGCCACCCCATCCTACCTGTAGGATATGGAGGCAAAGGGATGACTCACCTGGGTTCGAGGGCTGGAGTTGCCCAGGATGTAGGAGCGGGTGACCATGTTGTCCCCGAAGCTACCCCCACTGCCCCCCACACTGCGGTAGCTGCGAGTGACTGTGACACTGGAGGCAGAAGAGCCAGAGGAGATGGATCCGCCCACCTGGGCTCCTGAGCCGCTGGCAGATGCCTTGTCGGCAGGCTGCCCACATGTCCCGCACAGCACGGTGCGCGAGCGCAGGTTGTACTCAGCGGGGTCCCCCGAGCTGCTGCAGTGGGAGCCCTGAGGAGGGAGACAAGGCTCAGGGGGGACGGCGAGTCTGGGAGTGACTGCTCAGGCCCAATACCCAGGCTCCAGGCTCTTGGAGGTTCCCAGCCACTGGGCAGGAAGGTGGGGCTCTGCACCCAGGGAGCCAGAGGACAGTGGGGGCTTGGGAAGGCCAGAGGCTGGGAGGAAGGACATGGAAGAGGAGAATGGTCAGAAAGACTTGGAAGAAGAGAGGTATGGCTTTGACTTTTTATAAATCCTCTAAGTTTAAGAGGAAAAGGGGGAGGGCAAGCTTCTAGGGCAGCAGGCATGCAAAATTAATTTAGGAGGGGGATAGGAATGAGAGAAAACATTGTTGTAGGGAGAATGAGAAGACATGCATGGGACAGGACTGGGGAAGGGGCAAGAAAGGAAATGCATGCAGCAGGAATGGGAGAGAGAGGCAGGGCTGGGTGCCCCATCTCAATCCTCCATCCCCTTCCCAGGAGACAAATCCAGACCTCGGTCCACTGCTCCCATGGAAATACTCCATGGCATCAGAAAGTTCCCACTCCCTTCCTTACCAGAGAAGGGCACCCAGTCACCTGGGTTCCCTGTTCAAGGTATAGGGAGGAGAGAGAAGAAAGGCCAGGGCAGCGAGTGAAGTTCCAAAACATTCTTTAATGAAAAGACTTTGGCATGGGAGATGGGGAGAGGCTGCCCCAGGCCTAGCTGGGTTGCCCAGTGCAGGCTGGGCCTCAGCGGCGGCTGCCACTCACGTGGTGGTGATGGAGCAGGTCATCTCCATCCTCATCCTCGTCGTCCTCAACCACAGTCACTGAGCGCACAAGCTTGCGCATGGCCACCTCCTATAGAGACATGGGACCAGGCCCAAGGATCAGGGGATGAAGGCTGGGAAGGGTTATGCAGCCTATCTACCCACACTAACCATCTGGAACCTTTCTGTGGCCTGCCCTTTGTCTAATAGCTTGCTGCTCACTCCATCCTCTGTGGTGCTGGAGCTAAGGAATTTGCTTCTACCCAGGAAGACACTGTCAGCTCTCTGGATAGGAACATGGCTCTATGTCTAACTACCCTCACTAACTTCCACCCATCATGCTGCTGGGGGAGGCTCTTTTGGTTTTCTCAAAGTGACCCTGAATGAGCTCCCATTTTGGTCACTAGGGGGACCCTTGACCAGCAAGAGGCAAACCACAGCATACTCACTTCCCCAGTGGAGTTGATGAGAGCAGTGCGCAGGCTGTTCCCACAGCCCCAGGTGTTCTGCGCCTTCCACACCATGTCAGTAGGAGGACTATGGGTAGCCCCAGCTCCTGCAGCCCAGATCTGGGGAAAGAGGATTAGAGAACATTGCTCACTCCAGTGCTCCCGTCCTCAAGCCAACCCATCTCCATCTAAGATCACCCCAGAGTCCCAAGCACCCTGGCACTCACCGTCACCACCTGTCCAGCTTTCAGGGTGAACTTTGGTGGGAAGCGGTAAGTCAGCAAGGGATCATCTCCATTCTGGCGCTTGATCTGCCAGTTGCCCATGGACTGGTCCTGCCAGGAGGAGAGGGAAGAGTAAGGGGGGAAGGCTCAATCCAGCTCTTGGGTTTATATCACACAAGGGCCCAGGCAGGCTGGGCATAGTGGTGCACAGTTATACTCCCAGCTATTTGGGAAGCTGAAGCAGGAGGACTGTTTGAGTGATCCTCTCAATCTAGAGTTCAAGACCAGTCTAGCACCATAGTGCCTTCCTTTCTTAAAAAGGAAAGGAAGGGAGAAGGATGGTAGAGGGAAGGAAAGGGAGAAGAAAGGGAAGGGAAGAGAGAAGGAAAGGAGAGAAGGGAAAAGAGAAGGAAGGGAGAGGGAGGGGAGGGGACGAAAGGAAAGGAAAGGAGAGGGAAGGGAAAGAAAGGGAAGGAGGGAGGGAAAGATGAGGGAAGGGAGGAAGGGAGAAAGGAAGGAAGGGAGGAAGGACAGAAGGAAACCCAGTCATGTCTGCTACCACCCACATTCATTGAGAGGCTTTCTCTCCACCCAGTCCCCCACCACTGACCTTCCCTGCAAGCATAACAGCTGTTATCCTTATGCTGTGCCAATTATATTTTCATCCTCCCAACAACTAAAAGACAGGAAGTACTATTCATCCCTATTTTACAGATGAGGAAACTGACGCTCTCTGAAGTTAAACAACTTGCTCAAGATGTCACAGCCACCAGTCCAGGAACCAGGAATGAAACTCAGCTGTGTTCCCTTAGACCCTGACCTGGGGCCTACCTCATTGGACTTGTTGCGCAGTCGCACAAACTTGCCCTCCTCATCCACCTCCTCCACTGCCACACGCCCGCTAGTACGAGCGTGCTGCGAGAAGCTGCTGCGGCTCTCAGTGGACTCCAGTTTGCGCTTTTTAGTGATGCTGCCCCCACCCTGTGTCTGGGATGAGTGGGAGGAGGTGCGGCCACGGCTGCGCTGGGAGGTGGGGCTGGGGGACAGGCGTAGCCTAGAGAGAGGAAGACAAGGAAGAGGGGCTTTAGTCAAAGTCAATCACTGGCCAGAGGCCACTGCTATCACCTCCCAACCCCTCCTAGCTTACCTCTCCTCCTCTCCCTCCAGGAGCTTTCGGTAAGCATGGATCTCCATGTCCAGGGCCAACTTGATATCCAGCAGTTCCTGGTACTCATCCAGCTGCTGCTGCATCCTTGCCCGCATGTCAGCCATCTCTCGCTCCTTCTCCGCCAGCAGCCGCCGGCTGGTGTCCCGCTCCCGGGCCAGAGAGTCCTCCAGGTCCCGAAGCTTTGCCTCCTTGGCTGCCAGCTTGGGTGGGAGAGATAGGGAGTCTGGTGAACTTCCAAGAGCCCCAAGTATGGAGAGGATTGTGGGTAAGGTATAGGGCACCCAGAATCTCTAGGCTCTTATCAAAGCCCATGACAGGCTCTGTGGCCTTGGCCAGTAATCAGGAAGCAACTTCGCAGTATCTAACTGAAATCTCTTGTTCTGAGGCTAGACCTCATTTCCTCCTATCACAAATGATGCAGCAAGCTAGAAATATGTTGGTGTTTTAACACCTGATACTAAAGAGCATTATCTGTGAGTTAGGGAGGATGAGAATGACCTCTATTTTCAGATGGGAAAACTATGGCTCTGAGGATGAGGGCGAAGAAAGAAGGGATACTGGAACAGCAGACAGGCCACAGACTCCAAATCCCAGTCCATGGTCCTTTGGGCCTGTTCTGATCCTCCCCTTCCCTCTCCTGCTTACAGTGCTTCCATGTGCATCCACCAGGACAAATTGCCCCTGCCCCAGGGGTGGGCTGGGGCATCACCTGCTTCTGGAGCTGGCTGAGCTGGGCCGAGAGGCTGTCAATGCGGATGCGGGACTGCTGCAGCTCCTCGTGGGCAGCCCCCACTAGGTTGCTGTTCCTCTCAGCAGACTGCCTGGCATTATCCAGCTGCAGGGAGAACACAGAGTTAGTACTGCAGGGACTCTAAGGAATGGCATTACTGCTGCAGCCTCAGATCCTAAGCCACTGCTGCTTCCCTGAGCTCCCTGCTACCACCTGCCTGTCCCCCAAGGCGTATCCCAGTGTGGGCAGGGGTAGGCTGCTGAGGGCAGAGGCAGGGAAGGACTTGGGGGAGAGCAAGCACCTTGGCAGAATAGGTCTTCTCCAGCTCCTTCTTGTACTGTTCCACCTGGTCCTCATGCTGGGCCCGCAGCTCCTGCAGAGCATCCGCCAGCCGGCTCTCAAACTCACGCTGCTTCCCATTATCAATCTCCACCAGCCGGGTCTCATGGCGCCGTTTGGTCTCACGTAGTTCCTGGAAAAGTTGGAGATGGAAATCAGAACTGACTCCTTAGAAGTTGAGACCCAGAAGGCCAAGCTCCCTGGCCTGCCCTAACTCCACAAGCCCCATTAGCCCCACTAACCTGGGAGCAGGGTGCAGGCCACCCCCCACTTCCCTTCCATTAATACAGGAGCTCAGGCAGGTGAGCTCTGCATACAGCTGATCCCCAACCCCAAGACCAGTGTCTGTCACTACCCAGTCCCAGCATCCTGGCTTGCAATACACAGTCCCTACCTCACTGTAGATATTCTTCTGGAAGTCCAGTTCTTCCTTAAGGGTCTGCAGCCTGTTCTCAGCATCTACCCGCCGTAACATTTCATCCTGAAGTTGCTTCTTGGCCTCACCCAGTGCTGCCTCAAGCTGCGAGGAAGTAGGCAAATGTCAGGAAAGGATCTCAGGCCATGAGCTGGAAGGAAGCTGAGTGGTGGCTGTTCCCAGGCATCCTGCATTAACAGGTCTGGGGGAAGTGAAGGCCCGGGGTGTCCACGGAGTCAAGGGCATCCACTCACTCACAGTAACTAGTCTGGCAGGTAACTGTGCTGCGAAATCAAAAAACTCCTCCACCACAGAACTTCCCTGCCCTTGGCATACCATAGCAGTTGCCATGAAGGAGGTGTGTGCAAAGTAGAGAAGGAAAATGAGAGAAGGAAATGAAGTGTGCCTGGTGAGGTAGGGAGCTTGAAGGCCTTCAAGAGGCTGAGACCTGGGAGACAGGTTAGTGGGGCCTGGGGAAGGGCACTGTTGTGACTGCAGGGACAGAGACACATGTATAAAAGAAAAGCAAGAGTTGTGTTTCACAACTCTTTGGGGTCTTCAGAAAGATCAGTACTGCTAAAGCCTGAAGTACGAGGATGGGAGGGGTGTAGAGAAGTGACAGGAGATGTGGCAGGGGCAAGATCATGAAGAGATGCCATGAACAGAGGCTCTAAAGAAACCTAAATAGGGGAGAACTGTGCTGAAAGATTCATGTTGACAAATGCAGGCTGGTAGGTACAGCCAGGAAAGGCTAGGGAGGGTGAGGCTGGAGGCAGACCTGGAAGAGAGGGGCCTGGCTTTGGTTTTGGAGTCAACCTGCAACTTTCTCCCCGTCTGTCCATGGTGTACCGTGGGGACTGGGCCTGGGAGGGAGAGTGACCACTATAGGAGCTTGCCCATTAGAGGCTCGCCTCACTCTAAACAGACCAGGCTATATTACTGGGAACAGATCAGCTTCTCCAGGCTTTTTCCTTAGCTTGTAACATGTGAAACAAAAGCAGAGAATAGATAGAAGTGTTTTGGAAGTAAAGGCCACCATACGCTTGCAAAGCTTCTCATATAGTTTTAGCCATCAGCTCCCCCTTATGGCCACAGTGGCTAAGAAGAGAGAAATCCCAGGCCAGGCAGTTAAATGAAATGGCTTGTGGTTTACTTTAAATTCACTGTGTAAGAGCCCGTAAGTGGCCATAAAAAAGGATAAAATATGGTCTGGATGGGAAAATTGATGCTAGGACAGGTGAATGGCTCAGGGACTATATGACAGGCCAGACTAAGCACCTCTGAAGGTGTGCCAGGGTAGAAGAGTGAGTCAGGTGGTAGGGCCCAGGGGGTGGCCTACCTTGGCCACCTGTCCCCGCAGGTCATGCAGCTCGCCCTCCAACGTGCGCTTCTCACTGAGAGCAGTGCTCAGTGCGGCCTCCTTGGAGTTGAGTAGAGCCTCCAGGTCCTTGAGCCGGGCCTGGGCAGCCAGCAAGTCACCCTCCTTCTTGGTATTACTAAGGAAGAGAGAGAAGAGTGGGTTTCAGAGAATCCTAGGCAGGACCCTATTCCAAGAGGTCAGCTATGGGTGCTGAATCTGCTGTTCTCCAGACTGGCAGGAGAGGGCGTCCTTGCATTAGGTTTGTTTGCAACTGCTTGCCTCTGGGGCTGAGCTCCCACCACCCCCAAGATCCCCCAAAAACCCCTTCCTGCTTCTCCACCCTTCCCATGACTCAGGCCTCAGGAACGTGCCTGGGGCCAAGGGCAATGCTAGATCCCATAATATGAATGCCTTTCTCTCTTTCCCCTCCCATTCCCTCCAAAAGAGACAGGGGCACCTTTGTCTTCCACCCCTTCCCACACAGGGCCTTAACTTTCTCCTCCCTGGACTCCACCCATTCTTGCATTCAGCCAAGCTTCCCACCCTCTGAGCAGTCAGTCAACTAGGCTCCCAGCCTTCAAGGCCACATGTTTCTAATGCTAGTTTGAGCCCCAAACGTGTCGGTCCCTCTCCTCATTCCTTCAACTCATATGCGTCTGTAGGGAAGGAAAGTCTGGCTGGAGTCAGGAGATCTGGAACAAGAACAATGAGGTGTGACATTGACCAGTACTTGGAACTCCAGTTTGGACAGAGTCCTCAGAGAAGGCTGAGCCCTACCGATTGGCCTCAAGCCTCAGCATCTGGCTCCAGATGTGGTTTCCAGGTCCATCTGGCCTTTAGCTTTGAGCCTTCCTATTCCTCAAAGTGGGCAAAGTTGTACCTAGGCCCAACCACACAGGACTGCCCCTGTCTCCCTCACCTTATTACTTTTGCTAATAAACTGGAAAAATAAATAGAGGTCCTATTGCTTAAAATCTTGGGGGAACAGGAGGTCAGTGACTCACGCCTGTAATCCTAGCTACTCGGGAAGCAGAGATCAGGAGGATTTAGGTTCAAAGCCAGCCCTGGGCAAATAGTTCTTAAGACCCTATCTCAAATAAATAAATAAATAAATAAATAAATAAATAAATAAAACCTTCACACACACACACACACACACACACAAAACCTTGGCGATGGATGCCACTGGCTCATGCTAGTAATCCTAGCTACTTGGGAGGCTGAGATCAGGAGAATCGTGGTTCAAGGCCAGCCCAGGCAAATAGTGTGAGAGACCTCATCTCCAAAATAACCAGAGCAAAATGAACTGGAAGTGTGGCTCAAATGGTAGAGCCCTGCTTTGCAAGTGTGAAGCCCAGAGTTCAAACCCCAGTCCCACCAAAAAAAAAAACTCAAACTTGGGGGTCCCCAAGAATTTTCCAAACATTACAATCCCTTCACAAATAAAGAATGAGAGTAGGCAGAGATCCAGGCAGTGGCAGAAAATATTCAAGGGTCTAGTCCTAGCTGCCACCTGTAAGCACATCAGTCCTCAAGTATAAGCCTACCACAGCATGTGGGAAAAAGGAAAACCAAAATGTGGCAGGCAAGAAAAACCCACCCTGGGGAGGAGAAACACAGCCCTGCAACATTTTTCTCCAGCTACAAAAGCCCTAAGCTTTATGAGGTCCAACTACTCACTCTGAAGCAGAAGAGAGGCTAGACTTGCGGAAGCTCTGGAGAGAGGAGACACTTAGGGGATTTCAAGCAAGGAGCCAACTGGGCTCTGCTAGTCTGGGAGGGGGGAATAAAGGAACACTCAGAGGGGCAGGGGAAGGGTGTGAAAACCTGCAGGGAGCTCCCCTAGCCTCTGTGCCTGCCTCTGTTCACCCTTCATGACAAGTTGTTTAAGTGCAACAATGTCTATCTCCTGAAAAGAGCCCCTTCCAGAACGGGAGGATGCTTCATCTCAGTCTGAAAAGCTAAAAATAAAGTCAAAACCCAGCTCAGGTTTTGGCTGCCATCCGGCCCAGCCTCTGGCTGGGAGCTCAGCCCCAACTTTCCATGACTTCAGAACTTTTCCGAAGCTGAAGCAGCTCCAGGGGGAGGAAGGAAAATGAAGAAAAACCGCTGGTAAAGTGAAGTGACATGCAGACACAGACTCTGAGCTCCTTGGGCCAACTCCAAGGCTAGCAGGGGCTTCCCAGAAGAGGCCTCTCCACCCTGCAGGCCAACAGCTGCAGCTGGCTGTATGAGGACTCTCAGAATTTAGAGAACTATCTTACAGTCCCTTCTGCTCAGCCTCCTCCTTTTACAGATGAGGAAACTGGAGTGTAGAGGAGTTTGGATAGCCCTGTGTGACAAGCACTGCAAACGGGTATAGTAACAGTGTTCAATTCTAGAGCCACTGATATAGGTAGGACCCTCTCCCTCCACCTCACTACCTTCCAGAAGCTGGGAGGAGGAATAGAGAAAACCCCCCGTGCAACAACACTCCCTAGTCCAGGCAGCCACAGCTGGGAGAGGCAGGGAGGCAGGAAGGAGCCTAGGCCAAGATAGTTTCAGACCATGCCTCAAGGGCATCTCCTCCCTACTTCTGCATCTCAGGCCTCTTAGACACACCAGAGATGGAACTTCTGGGGGTGGGGGAGCTTTTTTTTTTGGTGGGTTTGGGGTTTGAACTCAGAGCTTTATGCTTGCGAAGCCCCACTGCTTGAGCTACACCTCCAGTCCCTGGGATTCTCCTTGGTAATACCGTTCCTTGCAGTGCCCAGCAGACACTGAAATACATGGTACCTGTCTTCTGGGAGCTTATAGTCTAACACACACAGGAATGGTTTTTTCAATCTAGCCCTTTTACTTCCTGCTGCTCCCAAAAGTAGTGGTGATGGCAATAATAATAATAATATACAGTCATGTGTCACTTAACAACAGGGTTACATTCTAATAGGTGTCATTAGTTGATTTCATCATTGTTCGAATATCATAGAGTGTGCTTGCACAAATTGAGACAGCTGTCACTAGACAATAATCTTATGGGACAGTATGGAGCCATCTTTGTTCATATATGGGGTCTGTCATTGACCGAAACATTGTTATATGATACTGGACTGTAACAGCAAACACTTTCATTTAATCTTGACAACTATCCTCTGAGATAGGTGCTAAATGTGATTGTGGAAACTAAGGCAGAGTGAGTTATGTCCAAGGTCCTGCTACAAGTAGATAGCAGAGATGGAAATTGATGCTGTACCGATTTAGCACATGCCACAACATATTGGCCTCCAACTAAATTAAGAGGATTGTTTCCCTTTCTCTCCTGGTTGTTTTGACTAGCGTTGGAAAGAGGTGATAAAAGGACCACAGAAGACATACCCTGAAGATGAGAGAAACCATGAGCAGAGAGAGGGAAGTGACGAAGAGCCTTTGTGGTTTTCCTAGTCAGGCATGGGGAGCTCCCATCTGCTGGGTAGAAGCCACTATCACCTATGAGCTTATGACTCAGATCTCTGAAGTTCTGTGGCCAGGGAACCACACGCACATCCTAAGAAATGGTCAGGGGTAATACAAAACCCAGATTCTCCTAACTTTCCCCTAGTCCTACCTGTCCATTACCAAACGCCATCCATTTCCTTCCCAGTACAGGGCCTCAGACCTAGCAGGGACCAAAGCAGACACCAGCCAGGCATTTGGCCTCTGGGTGGTGGTGCTGCCCAGGTAGCACTGGAAATGGCATAAGGAAAGCTGAACACATGCTCAACCCCGTGCTGGGTTGGCAGAGCTGACAGGGTGGGGCAGGCCATGGGAGTTGGGAAGGGGTGGGAGCCTGGGGTTCCTCAGGTGACTCATGTTCAGGCAGACAATACCAGGGCAGGGGTCGGGAAATCCTCTAGTACTCACAGGGGAAACCCTGGCCTGCCTTAGTCCTGCCCCAGGCCCCGTGCCATGCTGTGGAGGGCCAGCTTTTCCCATGGCAGCATTGTCCAGGCTTCCCAAGCACGGGAGTGTGGCTATATCCCAGTTGCCTCCAGAGGCAAGAAAGGCTGGGCATCCTGTTTAACTCATCCCAAAGCTGACTGAATGGGGAGTGGGGAAGGGGAGCAAAGAGGAAAAGAGTAAGGCAACCGGGCATGGTGGCCCATGGGCACACCAGTAACCCCAGCAGTCGAGGCTGAGACAGGAGTAGATTGACTTTAAAGCCAGCATGGGCTATATAGCAAAACCCTGTCAAAAAACAAACAAATAAACAAACCAACCAGGCGGTGGCTTGGGTCTGTAAATCCTAGCTATTCAGGAGTCTGAGTTCAGGAGGATCGAGGTTCCAGAACAGCTAAGGCAAATATGAGACCCCCATTTCCAATATAACCAGAGCAAAATGGACTGGAGGTGGGGTTCAAACAGTAGAGTGCCTGCTTTGCAAGTGCGAAGTCCTGAGTTTAAACACCAGTCCCACCAAAAAAACAAGCAAATAAAAGAGTAAGAACTGATGGAGGGAGATAGGCAAAGTTGGGGTCAGCTAGGCTGAGGCTGGCGACCAGTTCCCCTCTCTTGCTGCTTTGGGAAGAAAGGCAACAGGCGCAGCAAAGGAGCTAGGTGGGCACCGTGCCAAACCCAGGCGCTGACCCGCCCACTGAGTCATCCTCCTCAGCCCAGCTCCGATGCCAGATATGGAAGCGGGCGGCCGCAGGCCTGTTTGGGCCTGGTTGCCCCGAGCAACGAGCTAGGCCTGAAGGGAGTGGCCTGCGTTTCCTCTCCTGGCCTGGGAGAGGGACAGCGCAACAGATTCTAGACCAGAGCTATAAATAAGAAGTGGGCGGGGAAGACGAACCAGGGGGCGGAGAAAGAGCCAGCCCGGCCCTGGGACCGCCCGCCCGCCCCGCCGGTCAGTCCATCCCGAGAGCCCGGCCTCACCAGCCCTCGGTGTTCCCCATCGCTGCGGGGTGCGGTCACCGGGAGCGGAGGCAGGAGAGCAGAGGTCTCGCGCCCCCTGGGCATTTCCTATCTCCCAGGAAAGGGCGCTCCCTGTGGCTGGGCAGAGCCGGGCGTTCCAACTCCTTCCGGGCGGGCGGCTAGACCTCAGCCTAGTGGATCCCTCCCTTGAGATCCAGCAGCTTCCGCGGCCACCCTAAGCCATCCTAAGTGGACTGCCAAGTTCCT